GTGCAGCTTTGCAACTCTGTTGAGAGGCACGGTGAAGTACATCTTGGCGGTGCTCCAGGCACCCCCGTCTCCCGCGAAGCTGCCGTACAGGGGGTCGTAGACGTTGTCGGCCTCGGACATGTGCACCACAAAGTTGGAGGCCGTGACGACGCGGTGACAAGCGGTGACAAGCTCGGCGGGATGGAATTTGCCAAGCGGAATCCTGAGCAAAGTGAGCGTCTGGAGCCCTGCTTTCGACCGAAAACGAGCGAAACTTGAGGCTCAGGCATCCCACTTGCCGTCTGACACGAAAAAACGAACTTTTCGGAGTTGGCCGCTTTGAGCGCTTTTTGCACCAAAAAACGGAGCCAGACGGAGCGGTGACAAAGGCGGTGACAAGTTCGGCGGGCTGACGTGTCACAAGCCAAAACCTCGGCGGGCTGCCGCGCTCCGAGCCAGGTCCTCGGCAGGCTGTCGTGCCGCGGAAAACCCTGCGACTCCGGAACTCGCGAACTGGGCCGCTTTTGCGCACTTTTTCGACCCAAAAGCGAGCGGTGACAAAGCGGTGGCGAACGGTGACAAGCTCAGCGGGATGGAATTTGCCTGCTTTTCCGGCAGAAAACGGAAGCCAGAGCACGGCGAGCGTCTGGAGCCCGATTTCGACCGAAAACGAGCGAATTTGGAGGCTCAGGCACCACACTTGACGTCTGACGAACTTTTCGGAGTTGGCCGTTTTGAGCGCTTTTTGCACCAAAAACGGAGCGGTGACGAAGCGGTGACATCGCTGGTGACGAGTTCAGCTGGTTGAAAATTATGCAGTTTTGCATGGTTTTTTGGACCAAAAAACCAAAATAATTAGGTCCCTATAAGCCCCCTTTCCTTACTACTGACTTACATTTTTTTCCTGGGAAGAATTCCGACTTCGGGTGGCGCGGCTCGCTCCAAGACAAAGGGGCTCCGATTAGAGTCGGGCAGATCCGCCTGGTCTCCGCAGATCATAGGTCAACCGACGATGTCAAGCGCCTCCTGGACGAAGGGCAGGAGGTGGAGCATGGCGCAGTGCAAGCCGTCAAGGAGACGGCAGCCGTGGCTGCGGAGGAGGGTGAGGTTGCCGCCGCGGGCGTGTGGAGCCTTCGGGTACCTAGAAGGCCTGGTTGAGGGGGCTGCAGCCCTGTTCGGAAGATTGCAGATCAGGTCACCGAAGAATCCAGCCTTTTGCAGGCCGACTGCTCCAGCGCTTGGTGGGCACGTCCTGCTTCGGTTTGTTCTTGCTGCGAGGAGGCTTGCTCCGTCGTTTCGGCTCCGGCGTCGGTGCCTCCAGCGCAGCGTGCCCTCCATCACGGACCGCCTGCGCAGCACGGCCGACGGCGCGCAGGCGGCAGCGGACCTCATAGGCGCAGGAGCAGCAGGGCTCGCAGCCGCGCAGGCCTTCCGCTTCCCCAGGACGCAGCCGAGCGCGGGCCAGCCAAAAGCCAGCCAAAAGCCAGCCAGAAAGCCAGCCAGAAGCCAGCCAGAAGCCAACCAAGCCAGCCAGGGTTCCTTTTGAGGGGCTTGCAGAAACGCAGCTACGAGGCAAATTGACTGCGCATATCTAGGGGTCGTTATGTTGCAGCCACACGCCTGGAATAGAATCCATTTGGGAAACCCCCTCTAAAGAGAGAGGTTGGCCTCTTGTCAATGTTGACCCATTGTTGACTCAAGATAACAATGAAGCCTCCACCCTGCCGCGCCACCTGCCCGGCATCAAAGCCTCCACCCTGCCGCGCCACTATTAAAAAAAGATGTTTGGTTGGCTTTTGGCTGGCTTCTGCCTGGCTTGCTGGCTCTGGCTGGCTTCTGGCTGGCTTCTGGCTGGTTTGGCTGGCTTGGCTGGTTTGGACCATTTGTTTTAGCTCGCCTTGCAGAAACGCAGCTACAAGGCAAATTGCAAGCATATCTAGGGGTCGTTATGTTGCAGCCACACGCCCTGCACGCAGCGTTTTAGATTTCGAATCCTTTGCAGGACAAGGTCGTTTCCTGGACGGACGAGTTACCAGGTGGAATAGAACCCATTTGGGAAACCCCCTCTAAAGAGAGAGAAAGAGCTGCCGCATTTCATTTGGCCAAGCGTGTGGATACGTGTTGCGACTCTGGCGCTCTTAGACGCACCAAAGCCGGACGACCGGCTGCAGGTTCCAGAGCACCCGGAGGAAGACCAGGTACGGCCTGGTGGTCATGGACGTCTTCACCCGGGAAGAACGCAGAGACGGTTGCGCCACCAGGAGCTGACGGGGGACGACAAGGCTTTACTGCTAGCAGGCTTCTGGCAATGACTCCTTGCAATGACTCCTTGCAATGACTCCTTGCAACATGACTCCTTGCAACATGACTCCTTGCAATGACTTCTTGCAATAACTCCTTGTGACTCCTTGCAATGACCCTTGCAATGGCTCCTTGCAATGGCTCCTTGCAATGACTCCTTGCAATGACTCCTTGCATTGACTTTCATGATGATGATTCCTTGCAATGACACCTTGTAATGACTCTCATGAGAACAACTCAAGTGAACCCAGCCGAAGAACCCTTCGCCACGCTTTCGGAAAAGCAAAAGAAGCTCCAACAACAAAAGCTTAGACATTCGCGCTGTGTCGGAAATATCTTCTGGCCTGTGCGTTTGTTAGTTGGTTGACCGCGTGCGCCGCTCAGTCTCCGTGTCAGTCATCTCTTGTACAGCCTCGGTGTTTGTCTTGTCGTTCTAGTACACAGCCCCTCATTGTTTACATTTCAAGTTACAGGAAACCAATGTTACATGGAGCGCGGCGCGCGCCTGCCATCTGAGACCGAGATACTGACTGGCTCATCCAGTGCACTACCCCGCACGTGTAGCGCAGCAGAAGACAAGTAGTCTAGGCCATCCAGGAGTTTGCAACTTTGCTGAGAGTGTCTGCGTGTTTTTGTTGGATGCCTAGATGTCCGGAATTTATCGCCTGGCGATGAAAGCATTGTGCGAAGCACAGTGACGGGGAAGACTGTCTTGCAGCAGACGACAAAATCCTGTTGGCGTATTTTGTATGACGCTTGGTTGTTGGATTGCATTTTTGTCGGCCATGTCTGTGCCTGCATCACATTCTGACGCATGTGTTGCACAGAAGTTTGCTGTGTCGCCCGCCTCATCGACGCATCCCAAACCCTAAGCGCCTGTAGTTTTGTTGTTTCACTTGTCTATGAATTGGAGGACGAGTAGTCGGTGACTGTAGCGGCAACACCATGCTGTTGTATGTTTATGTTGGTATAACCTGTCTTAGAGTTTAAAAAACAATAGGAGCTCCAAGAACAAAAGCTTAGACATTCGCGCTGTGTCGGAAGTATCTTCTGGCCTGTGCGTTTGTTAGTTGGTTGTTTTGTTTGCTTTGGGTGTGACCACGCAGCAGCTGTTTGTTCATTGAAGCATTTCCAGCGCCGTGTTTTTACTGGTCAGAGCGGTTGTCTTTGATGGATGGATGGACCGTCGGAATTGTCGCCTCGCGACGATCATGTTATGCGAAGCATGGGTGGCCGCAGGGCCAAAAAAAGGGGCGGAATGTTGTCTGTGGTGCCTTGTTTCTGCAGTGAGCTTGAGATGTGTAATTTTCAGCGCGTGTCGTTGACATGAGCATGTGACACGAGTTTGACCGGAAGTGGTCTTACCTAGTCTAACATACATCATTAGCAGGTATCCCACTCGCAAAACAGCAGCCTAAACCCTAAAGAGAACACTGTGCGTGGACCATCATGAAATTGGAAAAAGGGAGAGTGTTTGTGCTTGCTCTCTCACATGTGTTGTGTGCAATTTGGTTTTGTTGCGGCTCAATCGACGCATCCTAAACCCTAAGCCTGTGTAGTCTTGCTGTTCCATGGTCATTTTCTGTGGCTTACTGCAGTCAGTTCCGCTGTGACACGGAATTGATGACACAGTACGTCTGTGCTGTTTATGCGGAATATAAATTGTCCTTCAGCATAACGTACTAATATCAAACTTGTCGAACAAGGATAAACCAGCAATCGCGATTTTGGCTGATTTGTGAGGTCTTGTTTTTGAGACCACTTCTGGCTCCAAAAACGGGGTGCTCCAGGTGTTCCCTCACTGTAACCTCTGCTCCACCTCTTCCTCGTCCTTTTACAGTTTGACGTTGGCGACCCTCTTGGCCCGTCGTTCTGGAGGTTGCCGACTCCCTTGTCGACCTTGCGCACTAGCACCCCTGACATGATCTTCCCCCTTGACGTGGTCTGGTCCAGCCTGCGCAAGCTTTGCAAAGTTTAGCTCCTTTTTTGTCCCGTGGAGAAAAAAGTCCGGTCCGAACGTACGAGTACGTTGCCGTTGGCGGAAGAAGATGGACTGCTGGAGCTTTCTGGGCACAAAGTCGGTCGGCAGGTCAAGGCGGCGGGCTGGAAAGTCGTCTTCCTGGTGGCCAGTGGCCTAGCAGTGGGTTTTTGGGCAAAATCGGAAGCTTGAAGCAGGAATTCCGACCCGGTGAAGAGCGAAGTTGGAATTCCAAAGACCTCTTTTCCCTATTCTATGGCGGGAGAGCGTTTTTGAGCCGATTATTACAAAAACATAAAAAAAAAAAAAAAAAAAAAAAAAAAAAAATTGCGTGCGTTTACAAACCCCGTTCAAACTTCCGGAGGGCCGATTCGATGCAGGGCGCAGGTTTTGAGCCGATTGTTGCAAAACACTGCGCTCGTGCATATACAATGGCAGGGCGCGCGTTTTGAGCCGATTGCCAAAGCACTGTGCCATGACGCATGCAACGTTGTGCTTGTTTTGGACCTTGAATGGCAGTTTCGTTGGCATCCCCATTCAAACACAAAGGCTGACACGTTTGGCATGGGCCGGCGCATGTGATCAACTGACAAAATTGCCAGTAGTCTATCGTTCGTCTGGAGAGGAACACAAAAATGGACCACCCAAAAGTCCAACACAAAGAAGGGGCAATTTCACAGGGAAACGCAGGCTTGCCCACCCCCCCAATTTTCGTATGTCCTGGGAAACGAGTGATTTTGACCAGGGCCCATGTGTGGAACCCGCGGCTGGTGCCATGGCACACGACGCCTTCGGCTTTGGCTGGCTCTTGGCAAGCCAGGCGCCGGGGCACCAACTCGCCGAAGGGAAGCCGCCCATTTGGTTCATTTGGGCTTGGGTCAAAATTGAACCACTCGGGACCGTTGGTTTTAGTCCATGTTTCCGTTCACCCAAGGTTCCATTTTGGGTACCTATTTTTGACCCACAACCATTTTGGTCAAGCTTGGTTGTGGTTTGATGCCCGTGTTTTTTCGGTTATGAAGGTGGTGCGGGGGCAATGCGGGAAACTTGCATTTGAATCTGGGATCGCTGAAATCAGTTCAATGGGGCCATTTTCATGCAAGAACGACTTGCCAGGTTCAAACGGCAGTTGTGGCAGTTAATGTTGACGCTGGCTTTATCAAATTGGTAAGGAGTTAGTGTTTCTGAAAGTCTTTTAAACACTCAGGTATTATGAGTCCAGTGTTTCCATTTACGATTGAGAGACACGCAGATGGCAAACAAGAGCAAAGAAACTGATGTTTGCCTGTGGCGTCTTTGGTTTGCGTCCCAGGTGAGCGAACAACTGCGGGCACGTGAGAGAGAAGTGGTGGTTGTGCCTCACACCTCGGATTACAGGAGCGGTATCTGAGACGTCGCTTACAATAATCATGTTCTTAGGAGGTCGCGGGTTCGCTTCGGTCCTAGTTGCTGGCTCGCTTCGGTCCTAGTTTTCATCTCGCTTCGGTCCTAGTTTCCTTACTCGCTTCGGTCCTAGTTTCTTCGCCGTTGACTATGGTGTTTGAGAGGCAACATCCTTGACCCCACCCCACCCGGCATGTCTTGTTGTTAGGTGTTTGAGAGGCAACATCCTTGTCGACCCCACCCCGCCCGGCATGTCTTGTTGTTAGGTGTTTGAGAGGCAACATCCTTGTCGACCCCACCCCGCCCGGCATGTCTTGTTGTTAAGTGTTTGAGAGGCAACATCCTTGTCGACCCCACCCCGCCCGGCATGTCTTGTTGTTAGGTGTTTGAGAGGCAACATCCTTGTCGACCCCACCCCGCCCGGCATGTCTTGCTGGTAGGTGTTTGAGAGGCAACATCCTTGTCGACCCCACCCCGCCCGGCATGTCTTGTTGTTAGGTGTTTGAGAGGCAACATCCTTGTCGACCCCACCCCACGCGGCATGTGTTGTTGTTAGGTGTTTGAGAGGCAACACCCTTTGCGTGTGTCCTGTTGTTAGTGCTCAAAAAGCTACCTTCCACTGCGCCTGAAGTGATCCAAAAATTGCGACAGAAGTGATCCGCAAATGCTCAAACTACGACCAAAGTGAGTGGATTTCAGCTGCGACCAAAGTGATCCAAAAACTGCGACCGAAGTGATCCCCCCGCCTTCTTAGGATCCGCCTTATATGTGCACGAGATTGACAAACAAACCAACGTTTCCCGAGCTATTTATCCTTAAAGTCGTACCCGACCGAACACGAGGGTTTGTGGAGGAGTTGGTGCTAGCGAAGGAATAAACAAATTGTATACTCGGTGCTTTTGGGATGGAGATACACAAGATCATGAACAACCAACTGCTGAGCTGCACCTGATGTTGAGCCCCAACAAAATGACGCCAGTTTTGGTGAATGAGAGGACGAGAGGTTCGCACACGGGATGCCAATTGACAGAACTATGTTGCGCGGTGAGAAGTGAGGAAGCTCCTGTGAGCTCTGAGCTCGCTTGAGCCGCGCGCCCCATGTTCCATAGTGGTCGAAATGTCCATTCTGTCGTCAGATTCTTGGTTGCAGCCTGAAACATTTTGGTTTGGCGACTTTGGCCACCTAGCGGTTGCCTGAGGGGGCTTCCTTCCCAGCCTGGTGCCGACTCGGTCCAAGTGGTTGGAGGAGCCTGGCGCGGCGGCTGGTGCAGGAGGAGCACGTGGTGGAGGTGGGCAGCAGCCTGGGGAAGTGCTCCGAGATCCTCTGCGCGAGGCCGGACCGCGGCGGTTTTCGGAGGGACAGGGTTCCGTTTTTTCACTAGCCCAGAGTAGACTTAAACTGAGATGGGTTTCTGTTTTGGGGAATTCAACCACCCTTGGGTTCAAGTCCATTTTGGGGTTGTCAAAAAATGGAACCTGCGGACGGATTTTTTGGGCCAGGGAAAGGCGGAACCCCTCATGGGAAGGCTGTGGGAACTTTGACCCCGGACTGAGCACGGAAGTGGTTTGTAGGGGGGCCCAATCGCAATCAACCCGAGATCTGTGAATTCGGGGTCAACAGCGATTTATCCTCGTTGCCTTGTGCTCCAGTTGCCCGCACAAGGGCAAGACTTTGTTCTCCATGAACAGTTGCTGGACGATTAGGTGACTTTTTGCCAAATGGGGCATCCCAATTACCACTGCAAGGTGTTGTGTTCCATCCAGCGTGTGTTAGGTTAGAGAGGCAGGGGTAAAAGACATGTTTCCTTTGAACAGCATGAGGGCCTCAGTGGTCGCCAGCCGAGCCCCTAGGCAATTTGATCAGGTGCTTCCAGTCAATTTTTGTGGACTCCCTTTTGGTTGTGCATCTTGCAGTTCTCCCATTGTGAAATTGATCTTGATGTCGGGTCCACGCCAACATTATTCATCAGTCATCCTTGGACCAAGACCTGATTTTGTGCCCCAATTTGAGCTTGGTCATTTGCGTTTCTACTGGCTACCCTCACCTTCTACAACTTGTTGTCCTTGCTTTTGTGACAAGTTCTTGCCCGGCATGCTTCGAGTGGGCGCATGTGATCGAGATCATAGCAGGGATGTTGAATCCAAGAAATCTGATGGAGGATGGTAGAGGAGGGTGGAGAGGAAGGAGGCCTGCGGAACTCGGGTGGGTGGACCACCCTGCCGCGGATTTTCCCGCGTCTTGAACGAGCCTCACTTGTTTCCCATGGCAACACGCTGAGATCACCTGATTGACCGGCTGCTAAATCTTTTCTATTTTCCCAATAGGAAGCCAACATACTTTTTTGTTTTTTGTTTACTTTTTTTAAGACTCCCTATTTCATACGCAGCTTCATCAACCAGATCTTGGGAATTCTATTGGGTTGGTATGTTTTTCGGGGGAAGCCGTTCCGCCCGTTTCGAGGGCCGCCTCGCTGCTGGCGGTGGACGTGAGCCTTGAGCAGTTGGCCACGAGCCGCGCCGCGGTGCCTGGGGCGACCTTCGAGTTTCTGGAGAGCGGTTTGGCCGAGCCGCGGAGCCGAGTCGGATCGGTACAGGGGGACGCCAGGGGGACTGTGTGTGTGTGTGTGTGTGTGTGTGTGTGTGTGTGTGTGTGTGTGTGTGTGTGTGTGTGTGTGTGTGTGTGTGTGTGTGTGTGTGTATGTGAGTCAGCCTTCTTTTTTGAGATTTGGACACAAATGAATGGTGTGTTCCTTTTTTTGAGGCGAAGGGTCCTTTTGGGTCATGTTGAATATCACTTGTGGGGCCAATGTAAAATGAGTTCCTTTTAGGGGTGGTGTTTAGAGTGGACATATAGGGAACTCTGATTGAAAAGGGGAACTTGGCTGATCATGAAGCACACATACACATATGGGTAGGTTGCAATCATGAGGCCCAGCCAAACGTGGAGGCCGTACTTGGCAACCGCAAGTAATAAATTGGGTGTCCCCATCAAGAGAAGATACCCCTTTCCTACCCCACATGAAGAACGTTTGCCAGTCTTCCTTCCAAGGAAGCCAATATTATTCTTTCCGCTCTCCCTTTCTTAGCGCCCTTTTGAAAGCCTCACTTTTTTCGTGCCGTTTTTGATCAAGCCGAGCCATTTTGTCTATCAAGGTCACCATGTGCACTGATGTCACGTGTTTTTCGTTCTCGCTGGTTTTGACACCTCGCGGTCCATCTGGTCACATGCGGTTGAACTGGTACCAAGAGGTCACTGGTTTTTACAGAAGGCATTCAAGGGGTCCAACAGGTTTCCCCGCGCCAGGACCTCTTCGAAGAGGCCCCCCGCCTGGCGGCGATGGATGCGGCGAGGGACGCCAAAGCGAGCGTCGCCTTTCTGGACATCGGCGGCGACCGGCGCTGTGGGTGCCGCGGGCTGGGGTTGGGGGGGTGTGCATTTGAAGGAAGGGGAACCGACGGCCCAGTTTCCATATGGGTTTCTCAAAATGGGGATCCTTCTTCGTGGTTTGCCCAAAATACATCCAAGCAGGTGACCCCTACTTTGAACCCCCCCCCCCCCCCCGCGCATGTGTCCATCCGCCTGGACATCACGGTGAGGTTTCCTGAGTTTCGACCAAACCACTTTCTACTTTCGCCAATCCGATGCGGTGGTGTCAGCTGGCTAGGGGTATGCGCTGACCAAACGCCTGCGCCAACCAGTTTTCAGGCAAACCACAGGGAAAGCCCGCAACTTTTGGGGTCCAAACGGTGATTTCGGCTGAAATCGCTGGGAGGCAAGTGCTTTGTGGCATCCGTTTGCTGCAGCAAAGCCTTCCCGCGCTACGGCTCATCGTCGTGAAGAGCGAGGCCGCGAAGCTCCAAGGGCCGAAGGGCCGAAGGGCCGAAGGGCCGAAGGGGGAGGGCGGCTCTCGCAAAGGGCGTCTCTCGAGTTTCTCTCTCTCAACATTTCCCGCCAAAAGGACCCAGGAAGGGAAACCCCAATGAAAGAAAAGGGCGGCGATTTGGAAGCCAACCATGGGGGGGTAACCAAAGGGACACCAACCATTGGGGCCTTGCTTCAACGATAGCACGCAGTTCCCCCCCGAAAGATTCGGGAGAACCTATGTTCAGAGGCTCGCCCCGTCCCAGGTCCACAGGCTTCCCAAAAGTCATGGAAGCTGACCAGGCCCCGGAAGGGGACAAAGGGCACAGCACCATGGGGTGTAGAGCTTCAACGCTGACGCGCGCTTTTTTTGGACGTAGGCAACAAGAAGAAGGGCGGGCTCTGTAGCTTGCTGGCTGTTGTCTCACTTTTCTCGATTCCCAAGGCGGGTCCATTCTCGCATGGGCAAATCTTTTGCGACTTACTCTAGGGAACTTTCAGGGGGCAAGTTCACTTTGTGGTCACCTCAGAAGCCAAGAGAGGATTGCCCTTACCAGGCACGTTGAGGCCCGTGCCTTGAGATAGGCCCATGGGCTGAGCAACCAGAACCTCTTCGGAGCAACCCAGCAGGATCAAAATTACACCTATTGGTTCGATTCAAACCAGGTGGAATCCATCTATTTGGAAAGGACACCTCTTGAGTTTCCCAGAATCCCTTTTTTGCTGTGCTGGGGAGCGGCCTATTCAGCTGAAGGGTGAAGGGGTGCCTCTGCGTTCTCAGAGTTATCAAGATGCCATCTCAGCCGATTTGTCTGCTTCCCGATTTCCAAGAGGCGGGTTTGATTCGAGGCCATTTTTCCCAGCTGGCTTGAGAACCAATTTCAGCCTGTCCTCTTGGGCTTCCTTTCTTATGTTGTCTCTAAGTTGGGGAGCCCAACCTGGTGGTTTCTTTTTGGATTCCACTTAAGCCAACCTCTCAAAAAACGACACACCCAGACCTCAGGAGGTGTACAGCGCTATGGCCCAGTTGACCGGCAGCAGCGGGCTGGGTGATGGCTCCTCGCTTGGGTTCCAGTCTTGTGGGCGTGTCTCAAAATAGGGGGGGGGGGAGTCCGTTTTGAGGGGTGGTTTCCTTCGTGTCTCAAAATGGGGGGGGGGGGGGGGTTCCTTTGGTTTGCCTATAAACCTCATCCAAAATGGGGTCCCCTATTCTGAGACATCATGCGGGGAATGATCAGGACTGATCAGCGCTCGTGTCTCAAAAGGGGGCTGTGGTCGATTCCCTACTTGGCATGGGTCCTTCCCATGCGAGTCGGCAACGGCCAAAGAGCAGCACCCCATCCTAATTACTCCTTTTGGCTTGCTTCTCCAAAGGCAGGTGTCTCCAAATCGGTTTCCCTTTGAATTTCCTCTTAAACTACTCCAAAACGGGTACCCTGGGATCAACGCCTGCCACAAACGGGGTGATGGGTTCGGGAGTCAGGAGTCGGCGTGAAAGAAAGTCCTTCAGCTCTCGGAAGGCTCTATGAGTGAATATCAAGGGTAGAAACCCGGGAAGGGTTTCCTTCACTGTTCATCTCGCAGAGGCAGATGCTGCGAGAGCTCTTCCCTAAATGTATCGCTTTCGGACTTTGCAGTAGCTGAACTGGCATCTGTTGTGACATTAATTTTCGTTTGAAGGTTCACTGAACCGGACCAGATGCAATCATATCATTTTTGGTCCAGGGCAAAGGCTGAGGTTGACCCACGCTGGAGCCAGCAAGTATTTGCCGTGAACAAGCTTGGGTCGCGCTTCATTCTCCCCGAGGGCGACTGGATGAGGCACCTACCACCTTCCTGACTTTCTCGCTCTGACTCCTTGCCAAACCCTTCAGCGTGCGGTTTCCCATGTGGGACCTGCTAGATATTCAAAAGTATCCATGATCATGTCTTTTCTCGCGCCTCATCCTTCAGCTTTTTATGTGGTTGCTTTAGATTTTCACAGTCGCATGTCTGCGAGGCAGCACGTACACGTTCAATACCTAACCCAGCGCTCCGGGTCTTCTGTTTGGTTCTGTTGCAACACAGACAGAGACACCCATGTGGGACTTTGGAAGACTCCACCCTTGAAAAGTTTGGCCCCTTGTGTACTTCCATTCGTGGAAACAGGGTACTTAGATGGTCGGGGACTTATCTAAATGCTTGAGCCACTTACCATGGTTGTAGAGGTAAAAACGTGGGTCTGCATGCAAGAACACCAACCAGTTGAACCAGGCTAAGCAACTAGCTACCGGAAACTCTGCAGGACATCCTTGTTTTTTGTTTTGTGTGCGCTTTTGGCTATATGATTTTCTGTAGCAGATCCTGCAGCTGTTTGTTGTTTTGTTTTTGTTTTGTGAACCCGCCGAGGTTGCGTCCTCCCAGAGCCAAAGAAGCTCCTGGACTTGGACGATGCGGATGGAGGCGTGACAAAGGGTGCCGCGAATGCCGCGATCCGCGAACACAGCATCCCGGTAATGCGGGTTTGCTTTCTTTTTGTGTTTTTAGGTTGGGGGGGGTGAGCCCCAGCCAGGGGGCTGGCTGGCTGGTTGGGTGGGTCGGTGGGTGGTTGGTTGGTTGGTTGGGTGGTTGGTTGGTTGGTTGCTTGCTTGCTTGCTTGGTTGGTTGGTCGGTTGAATAGTTGGTTGGGTGGGTGGGGTTCGTTGGTTGGCTGGTTGGTCCACAACCCAAAACTTGCACAGCCACGTCCTGAAGCAGCCTCGCAGCTGCAGCAACAACGAGCCGCATACCTCGCGCAAATCAGCTCCAAGCCACCCAAACCGACTCGCAGGCAACCTCAAGCCCCTCCTGGGAGAAGAAGGGCTCAAGAGGACTGGAAATTATGGGGCATCCTGGATATCAGCCCCTTGCCGAACACAACCCCGCGCCCGCGCGCGCGAGGCGCCGCCCGCGGCTCCGCGGCGCGGCGGGCCCGGCGCATGGCGGCGCTGGCCGAGAGCCGGGCGATGGCGGCGGCTGGGGCCCCGCGGGTCACCCACCCCACCCCAAAAGTGGGGTTTCGCGCAAAGGGTTTCTGTTTGGACATCCCAAGAACCTTCTGAAAACCCAAGAAAGAGGAAACCATGCATGGGTTGGTTGTTTTGGTTTCCATTTCAAAGCCACACCAAATTGGGGGGTGCTTCAAAGGAAGCAACAAAATGGTGGCCCTCTTTTGTCTGGTTCTTAGGGGCTTCCTTTTAAAGCAACCCAAGACAAGAGTCGGTTTCCCCTTGAAACTGCCCGACAAATTTTGCCTCGAGTCTCCAGGATGCTTGAACAACGTGGTCATTTCCCCGCAAATTTACAGTACAGTTCCTCCTTTTTTGAGCGCTTGATGGAGACTCCAACTCTGGACCCATCCCTGGTTCACAATCACCCCGAGTGCACCATCCCTTTTAAGGTTTCAAAACGAATCCCTAGGAAAGCTGGAGCCCATTTCGGTGCCAAAACCTATGAGGCAAACTTTCACGCTGACTGTTTTTTCGGGGACAGCTAGGTGGTCACGGGGCCTTTATAGAGCCCTTGTGAGTACGCTTGCTGAATTTGGATACAATGTACACATACACTTTTGCGTGCAACTGATGCATATCCGCACGTATCGCGTCCCGCGACCGTGCTACGCACGATGTCTTACGTTACATCGATGCCTGCCTGAGGCATGTCCGGAAAAGCCACCTTGTGCTACTTCAAACAGGAAGTCCTGGGAGCTTCCATGGAATCGCCTCAGCGAGAAACACCCACGGGTACGAAGTGGCAAGTCTCACACAGAGATTTGTGTTCTCGTGCGTACTTGGGGCCAGATGTGGGTCTCCCTGACGTTTGAGAGGAAGGAGGGGCGAGAGGAGCCGGGTCCTAGACTCAGGAACCATGTGTTTTGATACTTTGAAGGCAAACGAAAGGAGACGATCATTTTTGTGGGGGTCTACTGCCAATTTAGCATTCAATTGAAGACTCTCTTAGGAAACATTCATACTGGCTATGACATTTAATGCGGACCATCCTCCAAAATTGGTCGTAGACAAATCGCCATGCAAGTGATATTTACCAAGGCTTCCCCAAGCAAGAAAGCAACACAGGACGTCCAACGTGCCAAGAGGTTCCTTTCACCCATCACTTCGGCAGGGTGAGTTTGCAAATAGTTGTTCAGCCAGCGCCATTCCCTTGTTTGCTTGGCTGGGTTGATCTTCGGCAATAGGTACCGCTTCAAACATGTTTTGAGGCTCCCTTTCCAAGAGGAAACGAGTCAAGGGCTCTCTGTTCCATGTTTGGCCTGGGAGCCTGAGGCTCCCCAAACCAGTCATTTCAGGGACTGTGCACTCACCCGCTGCAGTCAGGGTTCCAGTGTAGTGGGAGGGATAGAAAGGGCCTAAACAATCTCATACTCTATTCTTCCCATGTGCTCATGACTCAATTTGGCTTTCTTCAACCCCATTCTATTTATTTAGACCCGTGTGCTGTGGAGCAAAGCCTGCAAGTTGGGATGGATAAATTGTTGATACACCCTACCAACTGCTGCCGCGTGCATTTTGTCCATCCACAGTAGGTTCATAGCTCTCTCCTGGGTGTGCCTCCAAATATGGGGAGTCCCCTAAAGTCATTGAGTTCCCTTTGATATCCGATTTTCCATATTATATATATCTATATATGTATATATACATATACACATACATAAACAAATAGATAAATAGCTAAATCAATAACTAAATAAACAAAGACATAAATTAATACATAAATAAATAACTAAATCAATAACTAAATAAATACATAAATTAATACATAAATAAATAAATAACTAAATAAATAAATAAATAAATATATATATATATATATATATTTATATATCCACGATTCGAATGTTGTTTTCCTTGTCCCCCCAAACATGTCCGCCGTGCAAAGCCCGAGGCCCAGCCGGGCCGGTGGTTCCCTCGCCGCGCCATCGAGGCGCTCGTTCTTGGCTGAGTCTGGCGTGGGCGTGGGTACCCCACCCCCCCGCGGTTTGTTTTCCGGTAAGGGGAAAGCAAAAGGAAGCTTTTTCCACTTTGGGGGTCCCCTCAAAAAAGGACACACACACACCCACACACCACACATATATATATATACATATGTATATGTCTATGTATATGTATATGTATATGTATATGTACGTTATGTTATGTTATGTTGTGTTGTGTTGTGTTGTGTTGTGCTGTGTTATGTTATGTTATGTATGCATGTATATATATATATATATACATACGGAGTTTGTTTTTACATCTCCCCAGTAAATGTAGAACGTACAACTCCCAAATGTAAAAGTTTTATTGCTTCAGTAAGGCTCCCAACGGTTTTTGGCTTCTTGCCTTTAATGTGTTTAAACATCTTTCTTTTACTTTGCTTTTACATCAACTCGGGAAAAGTAAAACAGTGCGCAAGTACAACTTTTGATCCCATGAACAGTAAAATGCACCCCCTCAAAGTGAAACTTGCTTTCCCCGGCAAACTGACATAACAAAGCACCATCCCCAAAGTAACCATGTTTCCATCTTCTTACAGGCAATTTGACTTTTTACTTTTTGTGGATCCCACAGTTTTACTTCTTAGTTGTTTTCTTTTACTGGGGGAAAGGTAAAACGGAACAACTGACTTGGATCAGAGCAATGTTAGTTGTGGTGTTGGCTTAGCAGCGTGGACGGATTTGCTTTGTGAAGCCTAGGTGTTCCGCATCGTAGAACCAGTAAAGCGAAGATTCCTTTTGTGAGACTCCTCCTGAGGCGGCGCTGCTTGGGACCTGTGAGCAAGGTTTCTGCCTGAGCCACTCGGAGCTGGGGGTGAAAGTTCCTAGTTTTCACTCGGGTTTCACAAGGGCTCAGCTTGAGTTGAAGCTTAGATTCGAGGAGTTGGATGTCAAAAAGAGCCTAATTTGAGATTTGACTCAATCAGTCCTTTTCCTCCAAGCAGCCACCTGAGTTACCACATTCGCAATTCCCGGAGTATTCTTTGAATCTTCTTCGCGCTGTTCACATCTTGTGCCCTGAATCACAATGGATGTCGCCGTAATTGCTAGACCTTGATCGTTGGGGATCTTGACTGCGGCAGAGGTGGGAATCTGTCAATCGTAAGGTAGCGACCCTCCAAAACGGTTGGCAGCGATTACTTGTTGTGCCCTTGTGAGGGGTCGAAGTCTGTTTGACACGTCGAAGCAGAGTGCGGATAGGACCCTCTGCAGGCATCTGGCTTTTGTATCCACGTTAGATTCGGTTGCAATATCCGGTTTGTGGTGTTGAGTGGGACTTGTGGTACTAGAGAGGGGCTACCATGACCATGAGGGTGGGGAACCTAGAACCTGGAACACTTTCTTGGGGTAGTTGAAAGGGACACCACGCGGCACAGGCCAACCCATTTTGGGGTCCCGGTCCCCGTTGCGACGCTGGGAGTCTCAGGCCCGGAGCCGGAAGCTGGGAGCTGCACCTCGGCCGGTCAATTGGAGCGCGCTGTGCGTTTCAATCGTCCCGTCCAAACGTGGAAGCAGGGCAAACTGTATCGACGTCACGTTGCAGGTGGGGTGGGGTGGGGTGGGGTGGGGTGGGGTGGGGTGGGGTGGGGTGGGGTGGGGGGGGGGGGCAACATGAAAGTGAGGTTCTTTCTTGCTGCACCATTTTGTCGGTTGGTGAAGTAGAATAGTTTGACCAGATACTGTGGATGGTCAGAAACCGCTGGGGAAAAATGATGTCACCATTTGCTTCGAACGAAAGTGGGCAAACAAGCCTGTTGCGGATGGACAAAATCGCCACCAGATGGATCGAAGAACCCCCATGATGCTTGGGATAAACCTCCTATCTGGTGCAAAGTGAATTTTGTCCTCCCGGCAAGCAGGGTGGGAGAAGCTTTCAGCAACTCTCAGCCCAGCTTCTGGCCGGGGTCCCACCGCAGGCCAAAAGCAACGTGGGAAGGTGGACCTTTGGTCCCGTTCTGTGGTGGGAGAGTGGTGAGTATTCCTCTGAGCGTGGCCCTGCGAACGTTGTTTTTGCTTTGAACGTGCTTCATTCGCAACAAGGCCCTTTTTTTTGACCTTCGTCTTAACATAACCAAGCCACCCTTTGGGGCAAGAGGCACCCTCTGGCCCCTGATCTTGGCGGTGCATATGGCATGAATGACTGCAATTGAATGACTCTGCCTTCGGGGTCCGAACCTTTCATGAGCTTTCATACTTTTAGCTACCAGGTTTCGTCAAAGAGGGGCTCGAAAAAGCTCTTGGGACCTACTGGCAAATGGGTCGGTTTTGCCATCCCAATGACTTTTGATGGGGATACCAACTCATATTATTTCGTTGATGCGCCTTTTTGTAGGGTCATTTGAAACACGTCCACACTTGGGAGTTTCTGAAAATGGGTTTGGACCCCCTTTTGGTTGGCATGAGTTGTAGAAGCAAAAGGAAGCCCAGATTGGGGTCATTTTTTGGGACGTCCATTTGGGGCACCAAAGGAATCCGAAGAACCCAGATGCCTGAGGCATTTTCCTGCACCCCGAGCAGCAGCCGCTCTTCCGAGTACTGGCCTGAGGAAGGCGAAAGGTGAAAGGCGACGACAGAGGCAACGATGTGGGTTTGAAGTGGCCACATTTGGATGGGACCTCTGAAAATTGTCACCATTTCAGAGGTTTGGGGGGTTTTGTGGGTTATGTTGTGGATGTAGATGTTGAGGGGTGGTTTGGTTGGGTCGCAAGAATCCGATGCTGATCGACTTTTTCCGACTCGCAAGGAAAGCTCGCGCGTGGGTTTCCAAGCCTCCGGGCACCCACCCGCTGAGGTCGCTATGATCAGTCCCTAAGGTCTTCTGACATGGGTCATCCTTGGTCCATCCTTGGTGCGACTGCGAGCTCAATGTGTCCAAATATGGGACTTTGGGACTTTCTCAACTGGTTGGTTTCCTTTTGGGGCTCAAAAGCGCCCAAAGCACTCCCCTAACTTTGGGCAAATACTTACACGTGTCTTAACATAGTGGACCTCCACAATGGTGGTCCTTCCAAAGACTTCCCTTGAATCTCAACTACAAACTGGCAGGTAAACTGAAAAAAAGAACACCCACATGTGTTCTTGGGCGTGAATGTTCGCGGCTGCCCTTCGCGTTCTGTTTGTTGGGACACCACATGGCCGCGATGCATTTTTGTTTGGTCTTTCGGTTTCAACAACCCAATCTCCCTGCCTTGCGAAGCGTCTCTACGACCGCGGTTGAGGCGGAAGCTGTGGTGTGCCTCTTCGATGAGGTGGCACATGGCGAGCGCTTGGTGAGCCGCTTTGGAACGCACGCGGTGCCGATCTTTTGGGGCCACGGAGGCGCGGAAACGGGATGGGGAGGGGTTTTGCTGGTCCTCGTTGGTGTTGTTGTTCTTGTCTCTGCGGGTTTTTCTTTTTTTGGGCTTGTTTTTTCTTGGCTTTCCATGATTTCTGCTATTTGGCAGGTGCCGCCATTTTCACTGGCTTCCATTGGTTTTAGCGGTCAAGCTTGCTCCTGGAAGACGGGTGGGGCGACAGCCTAAGTTGGCGGGGTGAGCCTAGGAAAGTTGTTTTTACTCAACAAGTCCAAACCGGCCATGGTACGTAGCGGGCGGTGTCACATGTTTGGACTTCACTTCTGATAGTTTGCATGGTCAGCTGCTATGGATTCCCGGCTTGCTCCGAGCCGTTCCTCAAAGATGATCACGCCTCCTTTGGGTGGAACATTGGTGAACAATTTGCTTTCATTTCCCTTCACAACCTAAATTTCTGGCAACTTGGCCCATCCGGTCATTGGAGCAACCCTTCTGGTATGTGTTAACAGGGTATTTGCATTTCCCTTCTCATGAATATGACACGTTGCTATTTTGTAGACGACTTTAATAACTCGGCCAAAAGGGGAGTGTGCCTAAATGAACCAGTGCATGGTTGGCTTACTTTTCAGTTAGTTTCCCAATTCTGCAAGCACAAACAGGAATGTTGCGCAACTCACAACGGCATGAAACACACATGTGGTGCGCTTCTTTGGAAGGTACCCATTGGGGCTGCTTCACAGGGAACCCGAAAGCAAGCATCATTTTTGGGCGCTTCCCCCATTTTTTAAGACAGGCCGCCCGCATACATGGGTGTGATTTTTAATTGACTCTTGGTGGACATCATTTAGATGGGGATTCATGTCCACCAACCACTTACGAGTTGGTTCCCTGTTAAGTTTCACAGCCACATGTGGCTCCAAGATTGGACAGGAGATGTCCTGGTAGAGTTCGTGGGTTGGGAGCCCCGACTTCTTCTTTGTCCGCGAGGTTCGCAGATTTCTGAAGAGAAGAAAAGGGGAGACATGTTTCAGTTGTAACACATGTCAACAGGAAACGATGTGGATGGTGGGTTCCTTTCTGAATAACCTTTGGACGCTGAGACGATGCATTGAGAATTTGAGCAGGGATCTAAGCTATTGAGTCTATTCAGAATGGTTCTGATGACATCACGTGCGTTTGTTAATGGTGAGGGTTCCCCAAGTGCACCACGCAAGCCAGGGGCCAGAACCAAATTTTTCCAGGCTCATTGGGGGGGGGGGGAGCACGCCAGCCTTTCTGGAATGGCTCATGTGACTTTTTGCAGTCCATGTTCAGAGTTTTGCAACACAAAGGACCATGAACATACTGTACTCCTTCACAGAGACACTTGATATGCACACACACACACACAGATGCATCCATGCATCATACGGATTCGGGTGCGTGTCGAAGCAAGTTAGGAGCCATGATTTCTCAATGTTTGTCGCGACAAAGAAGAAAGGGTTTGGGAATTCAGTCGTCCCACATTAATCGGATGTGTGTTGTTTGATGGTGCCCAATATCTGCGATCCCCCTGTTTTGACACAGACACAAACACACACACACACCGTGTATGGAACGGATCGCTGACCACATGAGTACACTGCTGGTTGGTGCTCCGAATGTGCATCGAAAGTCCACTGGGCTAAGTTTTGTTCCGATTGTTTGCCTTTTAGCCTTGCATCGATCAACCATTGCAAGCAGGGTACTTAGAAAGTGGTCGGAATTTCGGTAGTAATTTCGTTTCTAGCCCACTAAAGGGACTAACACCAAGCTGAGTGGGTTTTGACCATTATTGGTTTAGTAGGTGGTTTGGAAACCACAAGTCCACCAAGTAGGAGGAGCTGATTCTGAGCATTCTGCCCCCTTTCGAGTGCCACCAGGTTCATACCGGGTGGACCGTATCCTGCCTGCAGAGCACGAGCACTACCAGGCGGCGAAGCATTGGAGGGTTTCGCTGGGGCGTGGTCCATTTGTTTTACTCTGGTGGCTTTAAGCATCTCATCCTGTGCTCCCCGGGTTACATTATTTTGCTCCTAAGGTCCGCAGCTTTTGTGGAGAGCCTCCAGAATGTGCAACCAAGGGTGTGTCTCAGCCTGAAGGTCTGTCACGGCGCTCTTTTGGCAGAGCGGTACCGCGTAGTTTCTCAGAGTGTTGCACCCCTCTTGGATGGTTTTCAAGGAATCCAAAGAAAAACCATATTTTGGGTCTTCAATTTTGAGAAACACATGCGGATTGGAACCAAGGACCAACATGTCCTTGTGTCTTTTATATAGAGTTTGCGTCGCGCATCACAAAGGCTGCATTAACAGGCCGCTCAACAAAACACGTGGTGCATGCAGCCCTCCAAGCGGACGGCGGGCCAGTCATGGTATGAGGTCCATGCAACAAGTTATTTTCTGCACTTGGGCGTTGCGCTCTCGAAGTGCCCCATAGGCAGCATATCACATTGAACACGCTCCATCTACCAGTTGCCAGCTCTTGACTGTCTGAGTCTTACATTGACTTGAACATTTGTCTGCCGTACTTGGATCACCACAGAAAGCAATGTGGGAAGACCCTTTACCAACCAACATTGTTGTATGTCATGCTGGGAAGGTTTGGTTTAGAAGCTTAAACGATGTGCCCGACTAGTACAAATCAAAGCGTGCAACAACCCGGGGAAAAATTATGGGCATGTGGGTGTTGATGTGCCGGCATTGGGGTTGTTTTGAGGTTGGCTATCCGAAAGGGGACTGTAAGCCAGCGACTCCCTATATTTGCCCTTTGGCAAGGGATGTGAAATATGGCCAATACAAGGGGGTTCCTTTTGGTGTTGAAACTGGAATCATTGCGTGTGTATATTTTGACAATATCCTTTACCTTGGTTTCAAGGGAAGGGACGCTTGCTGTCAACGAAGTTGATTGCGGTTTATTTGCATGTTGCTTTGGTTTGTTGGTTTACCTTTTATGAAGGGAAGCCAACGCTCGAGCACACGAACCTGAGTTGTGGTTCGAATTTGTACTGCTTGCGTATGGATTAAGGGTGGGTAGTGGTGGGAGCCCTCTTTCGCCGAAATCGACGAAAGAGATTTTGAAACAACCATCCCATGGGCACCTGCCTGCGCCAGCGCGCGCACACCGTTGTGCTTCGCTAGCGCCGCTTGATACGACAACTCTTCGTGTCAACTATTTGCAGCGTGTGCTTCATTTGCCTGGGATCCATTGGCAGCAAAATTCACGTCAATCTGACTGCCTTGCCACGCAGCCTGCGCTGACCACTGACAGGGGGTATTGGTTTGGATGGCGTGCAGTTCTGGAACTCTGGATGGCGCAGCAGATGATGAGTCTGCTGAAAGTGGAATCATTTGTGACAATGCTTTGAAGCGCGACTCGAGACAGGCAGTTGCTCCGAACAACATGTTTCACCTTTGCCCATATCCTTTTCGGAGTCAAGCCCTTTGGTGGACTTGTTCAGACAGACTTCAACCTCCAACAAGAAACGCAAGGTGGCCGGTGCAAAAAGCTTTGGGCAACGCGACCCTGAACTCTCAACTCGTTTTGAGCGGCATTTGGAACATTGTGCATCCTTTGCAAGCACACCGCATGCTCCAACTCCCTTGGGAATCTGGCATTTTCAAGCAGATCTTCGGGGAGAGTCACGTGATGGACAATTTTGGACCGCCAGCCATTTTGCATGTGGCTGCCCCTGCGCCGCGTGAAGATGCCATTGCACGTGAGGTGGCCGAGAAGGCAAGACACATCTGCGCCCGTTTATGCCAGATGTATTGGTGCTCTCACGGACAAGGACTACCTGGCCATGCGCGGGCTTGTTTGGCACCGAGCACTCGTATTGTGGCTGGGTATCATACAGTCGTGCAATTTTGAGTCGCAAGTGGGCAAGCATGCTGAGTTTCATTTGAGCGGCAATGACATGCAGGCGGCCTTGGAGATTATTCGAGATGCGAGTGGTTTGAAGTCACCCAAGACAGTTTTGAAGCGTGGTCAGGACCTGAAACGGTTTGTTTGCTTTGTACAGGAATCTAGAGGAGCTTGGTGGCCGGTAAGGGAACAAGATATGCTGCAGTACATGGAGGCCATGGCGCGCAACGAAGCAAGCAAATCCACAGGTAAGGACCTGCTGTCTGCATTGCGCTTTTACAAGTATGTGCTTGGTGCATATTTTGATTTGGACCAAGTGTTGACAGTTGTGACTGTTGGCAAAAGTAAACGCATTTTGGTTGGCCGCAAGCTCAAGAAGCAGGCGCGCGTACTCAGTGTACGCGAGGTGCAGCGGCTTGAGGAATTCCTGCAGTCGGGGGCGAATGTTCTCGACAGGTGCTATGCTGGTTGCCTCTTGTTTGCTATCTACGGTAGATGCAGTTGGAGTGATTTGCAGTTCCTTGACTCCTTGCAGTTTGATGTGGTTGAAGACGAAGCTACCGGTGCTGTGTTTGGATTTGTTGAGGGATCCACGCGTGTGCACAAGACAGGTGGCGCCGAGGAAAAGAAAGCGCTTTACATGCCTTTGGTGGCTCCGATCAATGGGATCTCTCAAGATTCTCGGGGCATGCGCTGGAAGTGTGCCCTACAAGAGTTGCAACTGCTGCCGGGTGAATCTCCTTTTGGGCCGCTTTGCAAAGCACCAGCTCCGGGAGGAGGTTTTGCGCGTAGGGGCGTCAGCTCAACAGAGGCTGGGAATATTCTGAACGCAATCCTGGACATTCCTAGCAAGAACCCACAACGGACCACGTCACATGCGATGAAAGCCACAACCTTAAGCTGGTGCGCTAAGTACGGCATGGACCCCTCAACGCGACTCGTGCTAGGTCATCATGCGGTTCAGGGAGACTCCTTGGCGTGCTACAGTGGGGATTTGATTTCTCATCCGCTTCGTGAATACTGCGCAATGCTCCTCAACATATCGCGGGGCCATTTCCTACCAGACTCAACCCGATCTGGCATGCTTGGGTCGGGAAGCCTGCGCAAAGATACTTCCGAAGATGTGGGCGCCAGCGTTAATGCTTTTGCATCATTAGATTGCGCAAAGGGAGTTGAGAGACAGGCCGATGCTCAGCATTGTGACAACCCTGCAACACCGGGCGCGAGTTCTGCGGGAGACGCTTGCGCGCGCACAGACGAGAATGCGCAAGGCAACGATGCGGCTGCAACAGATGAAGATCGGATCGAGATGCAAGAGTCGTCGGACTCGTCATATAGCTCCAGCAGCTCGAGCGAGGATGGAGAGAGCGAAGGCGAAGAGCAGTTTCATGAGGAGCAATGCGCCGGCGCAATGAACTATTTGGAGATTTCCATTCCCGGGCGGCTGGCTCAGAACAACCGCTCAAAGATGCTGCATCGATTGCCTGATGAGGTCGTAACAGCAACCGTGTGCGGAATCAAGCTCTCAAAGGGCTACAGTCTCCTTTTGAATGGTTCTAGGTTCTTCTGGCCTCGCTGCGCAAGATGTTTCAAAGGTGAGTTGATAGACACGCCGGATAAGGCGGCGGAAGTTTTTAGGGTTCTCGCCGAAGGCCGAGAACAAAGGAACAGGGCCTGATGGCTTGTGGCCATGGCTGCGTCCTAAACGTGGCTCGTGGCCCAAAGCGTGTGGAACTTGTGCGTAAGACATGCTTGGCTTGTGGCCGTACTTGCACTGTGGTGCGCAACACACTTGTGGTGTGAGCAGGCTTGTGGCCATTTTGTCCGTGTCTGAGTTGAAACTGAGAGCCCGAATGAATGCATAAGGCTCAAGGCGCTATGCAGTCTCGTTCTTTTTGATCGCACATCAATAAACAATGAGTAATTCGCCGTTCTTTTGGTCCAGGTGAACCGCTTTAGCAGATTGATTCGTAGGACCATGGCTAGCGCTGCTCTTACCGACACGGAGGCTGCGCTGAAACAGCAGGCAATCAAGCTGGGGCTCGATGATGAGATCATCGAAGCCATGGTCGATCAGAAAATTAACACGCTTGGAAGGCTTGCGTTCGCTGTTGTTCCCCCTGGCCAAAACCCAACAGAAGAGCAAGTGCAAGCATTTGTGACCCAACTGCTTCCTACGCACGACGTGTGTTCCATTGCTACGACTGCAGTTTTGAGGCGCCTCATTTTCGAATCTCAGACCACACTGACTGCCCAGCTGAAGCCACTGCAGACCCCAGTGCTGATCCCTACCTACGCAAACTGCCGGCTTCTGAACGGATGGCTTGCATAGCCAACCAAAGGGAGCGGAAATATATACCGCCAGGCAAGTGCATCACGCGTGTGCAAGAGATCATTTCGGCAAAGCCCCCGAGAGAGTTTCAGCTGGATTCGATTAGTGCGTCCCTGAAATTGAAGGACGGTGACAGCAGCTTGGAGTGCAACACCACTACGGAGCTGGAAGTCCTTCAAGCCCTCACGAGGCGCTCGTTGGCAATGGACGCAGTAGGGATGTTGGATTACACATGCGGAATGAGATGGGTGAATGCCTTGTTTTCCATTTTGCAGCAGTCCGTGGCACCGGGTTTCAACAAGGTCTCAGTTGTTCAGCTGTTACGCACGGACAGGCAAGCATTCATGCGCATGGCCGAGATTTGCAACAAAGGGATTCAACCACTGTCGAATGGTGTCCGTCCGCTCGACGATGCCATGAACGGAATGCGGAACGACTCCATGGTCATGTTCTACATGCTTCCGTCGCAGGCCTCCAGCAGTAGCGTAAGTTGGGCCAAACATACCAACAAGCGGAAGCAGAGCGACAAGAGCGAGGTGTCCAATCCGCCAGAGCCTCACCACGTGGAGAGGCCCAAGAGTGCAGGAAAAGGCAAAGGGAAAAAGAGCAAGGGATCTGGCTTCAATTCTGGCAAGCTGCCCGAACGTCTCAAGGGATGTGTGGCTTGCAGAGACGATGGAGAGCGTTTGTGTTTTTCCTTCAACTTAGACGGGTGTTCCTATGCCAAGGCCGGCGAGAAGTGCATGAAAGGGTGGCATTTATGTTGCAAACGAGGGTGCTTCCTGCCGCACCCGCAGCACGTGCATCCTTCGTGAAACGCAGCCTCTCCGGCCAAGCCCGACGGTGCCGTTTGCAGCAATCCGGGTGGGCCGGGGAGGATAGGTACAGAGAGCATTTTGCCCACATTGCATGACCAGAATTTGATGCAGCGCTCGCCAAGTGACTTTCCAAACGTGCCAGATCATTTTGTTTCAAGCAGCGCAGCAAACACTTTGCAAATACCTGAAGGGTTCTTTGCAATCGAGGTGTGTTCAGGCTCTGCGGGACTCACTGCGCAGCTTCGTAGGTCCGGGCTAAGCCATTCCTTCGGAGTCGACCACGTTGTGAAAACCAAGGCCCATGCACCGATCTGCAAACTTGACCTCACCGATTGCAGGTTGCAAGACATGATTCTGGGGTGGGTCGCGCACCCCAGATGTGCTTATGTATCTCGTGCAAGGGAAACACGCCTGGATACTCACGCACCTAAGCCCTTACGGTCCCAAGATTTCCCAGACGGGCTTCCTGAATTGAATCAGCCAGAGCGTAAACGGGTAGATCTAGCCAATGCTTTGTATGACTTAGCATCTCGGATCATCCTGCTGTGCGACAAACTGCACAAACGATGGTCGCTCGAGCAGCCTGCCAGGTCGCTGTTTTGGCGGACTTCGTTTTGGTGCAAAGTTCGCAATCAGGTGCAAGTAGTGCTAGTTCACTTTGACCATTGCATGTACGGAAGCTCAGGACGGAGACGCACATGTGTTGCCACGAACGTGCCAGAGTTGCTTGAATTGGAGCTACAGTGCGACGGCAGCACGAGCATTCTCCGTGGGGTCGCACTGAATTTGGCTTTGCGACAGCGTCAGAAGTCGAATATCCCATTGCCCTATGCCGTGCTTGGGCTTTCGCGCTGTGCAACGCCTTGCCTCACACTCAGGTCAGTGAACGGGCCATTGAGCAGTCACCTGACAAGGCGGCCCGCGCAACAGCAGGCAGACAAACCAAAACTTCCCGTGCCATAATACCTGATTTCAAAGCCTGCCACACGTGCGTTACGTGTGTTTCCTTGCCTTTCACGCCACCGAGTGTCCTGCAGAATGAGTTGTACCTCGGGCCCCCTTCTCACATAACCTTGCCTGTTGGTGCTCGGGTAGCAAGCATTGTCAGCATTGAAGGGGGAGGATGCAATTCGCATGGGCGCTTGCTTCGATGCGTTTGGTGCAGAAAGCAGCGCAAAATGCACAAGGGTCAAGTTCTCCTTGCCCTGGACTCCTGCCGAATTTGTGAGTGAAGCAGTGCAGACGGGACACCCCTTCTCGTTGTTTGACGGCGTCTCTAGCTCATTGTCAAGCGCAATCGAAGGAGCAACTTCAGCGCCGGCCGAAAACGTTGCAGCAAAAAGGGTCGCTTCCTTCAAGCGTTGGACTGCACGAGCCAAATCCTTGGCTCGTGCTGAGCTTGATTTGAAAGCTTCGTTGCCTGAGTGGAGACGTACCGTCCTCAAGGGCAAGAGGCTCTTGCTCCTGAGCGAGATGCTGTCTGAATTGCAGTACCCTGACGCAGGAGTTGTTGAGGACATAAAAAACGGATTTGATTTGGTAGGGGTTTTGCCCGCGAGCTCAGTGTTGCCACTCGCATTCACACCTGCCACGCTTAGTGAATCTGAACTTCTTGAAAGCGCTCCTGCAGCCAATCAAGCCATCTTCGAGTCCACTCGTTCATGTGGCGACCCGGAGGTGGATCAAGAGCTTTGGAGAAAGACGCAGAAAGAGGTGGCGGTGGGATGGCTCGAGGGCCCCATTCCTTTTCCTAGAATTGCTTCAACAGGCCGAGTAGCACGGAGATTTGGCATTGTTCAGGGTTCTAAAACCCGGCCAATTGACAACTACTCAGAGAGCCAAGTAAACGACTCCTGCACTTTCTTGAGCCGAATCACTGTTGACGGGGTTGACACGGTCTCGGCCATGGGAGCACTGTACTCTCCGACGCTGGCAACAGCACGCGCCTGTGCGGCAGGTCATTTGACCTCCGCAGTGCCTATCGCCAGTTGTGCGTCTCAGATGCTTCGTTGAAGTGGGCCCGCATCGTGGTGTTCGACCCCAACCTCAAGGTGCCTGTGTGCTACCAGCAATACACCCTGCCTTTTGGCGCACGTGCAAGTGTGTTGGGTTTCATCAGGTGTGCGCGAATGTTGCAGTGGATTGCACACAGCATAGATCTGGTTGTGAGCTGCTACTTTGACGACTACGTCTGCATGAGCACACCTGAGCTTGCTACCAACAGTGAGCAATCGTTTGCTTGCCTCCTCGATCTCTTGGGTTGGGAATACGATTGTGACGGTGCGAAAAATGATGAGATGTCTGACACTGTTTCGGCCCTGGGAGTTGAGTTCGATCTCAGAGATACGCACTTAGGTACCCTCAAGGTCCGCAACACAGCCAGGCGTGTGGTCGAGTTGCAAACGAACATAGACGAGCCCTTGCGCCGAGGATCTTTCACAGGAAAAGAAGCAGCATCCTTGAAAGGTCGCCTAGGGTTTGCCAGTGGGCAGCTCTTTGGACGCACATGTCGGAAGCTCATTCAGGATTTGGGCACCTACAGCTTGACCTGTGGCCCCGTTGCAATTACTGCAGACACTGTGAAGCCGGCCCTTGTTTTGCTGCAGCACAAGCTTGCAAGTGACACGCCTCGTCTTGTCCACATTGCAAGCTCCGACACCTTCTACATTTACACAGATGCATTTTTTGAAATGGATCAAGTTGTAGGAGGCTTGGGGGGGGTGCTGATCAACAGCCAAGGCACGGTTTTGTCCTGGTTTAGTACCCCTGCGAGCGCAGAGATGTGCTTCATGTTGTTGAAGGAGGGTCAGCGCCACTTGATAGGTGAGCTTGAGGCTCTTGCTGTGCTTGTGGCGCAACACGCGTGGCATGACCGGCTTGTGGCCCGACATACCGTCGTCTATATTGATAACGAGGGTGCTCGATTCTCGATCCTCCAAGGCTACACAAGGAGTGCTCTCCAAGATTGTGACTGCAATTTCTGGGCAAGAAGAATGCATGTGCATCTTTTCTTGGTACGCCAGAGTACCATCGCTTGGAAACGTTGCTGATGCCCCTTCGCGGAATGTTGCGGATCCCATTCTGCCAGAATCGAGTCGAATTGTTGTGGACTCGGATCTCATTGTGCAGTCGCTATGAATGTAGCCATTGAAAGGGGGGCCTTGTGGCCTGTTGAGTTTTCTTTGCAGAAGCATCGCTTTGAGACGCGATCGACAATGTACGCACCCCCGTTTGAAAAGATCTTGAGCCGAGTGTTTCAATTAAAGATGCGGAGTGAAGAAGTGAAGTCAAGAATTTTGTGCATGCGGCAAGATAGAAATATATATATGGACGAAGTCTGTGAGCGTCTTTGACGGACCTTCTGTGTTGCTTGGTTGTGTTGTTTGGTTAGTTGGCTCGAGCTTTACAAAGCACAAAGGGAAATAAAACCGCCGTTTTGGGGTCCAAACCCCAATTTTGACGCATACTCATATGGAACAACGTTGATCTGCGATAGGAAGGGGGATGACATGGGGCAGGCACCAAAGTTCCATCAGGACATAAGGGGTACTCACCAAAATCTCATGTCAGGGGACACAATCAACACTGACAGAGTCTCATATCGGGCTGTGGGTCAAAAATAGGTACCCAAAATGGAACCCTGGTAAATGGAACCAAAGACTAAAACCTGTGATCCTCTGGTGGCTTAATTTTGACCCATACCATTTACCAGGGTAGCCCATTTTGGGGTTACCCTTTTTCTGACAACCACAGCCATATAGGGAACCCATTCTATGCTGATCTTGGCTCTTCGGGGGCAGGCCCCGGTGCTGCTGGAGCACCTGCGGCAGGTGCGGGCTCGATCCCGCAGGCCGGGATCCAGGGAGGGGGAAGTGTTTGGGAGGAAGCTGAGGGAGAAGATAGGGTTCAGTTTGTTTTTTTGGGGGGATTTTTTTTTGGGGGGGGTGGGGAGTTTGCTCCAGTTTGTTTTTGTGGGGGGGGGGGGGGTTTGCATTTCTGGGGTCGGGGTTGGCTTTTGCCATGGCCACACTCTAGCAAAGGAGAATCGGAGAATCCCAGACAGAAGTCAGTGCGGCTGTCTGATTTCTTTACATGGTTTGGGGTCGACCATTTCAGTAGCAGGTTTTAACTGTAACTCATGCGAAGGTTTGAACATTGGCCGCATTTCTTCTGCTTCTTCTTCTTCTTCTTGTTCTTGAAGCAACTTTCTCGTTCCCGGCCACTCAGAAGCATCATGCATGGCTGCTGTGCCAAGAAAATCGCACTGTCGCAAGCACAGCCTTTGGCATCATTTCATAATGATTCGCGAACCTCCTGGCACGACAACATGGCGTGGCGTGCTGCCAGCAATATTATAGGTAATTGCCATCGGCTGGCTAGCAGAACCATGGACGAGCATTGCTCCTCAGTGTGTGTCCCGTTGGAACAAGCAGCGCCTTCATCGCCAGCATCATACGCGTCACACAGGATTCCATGCCTTAAGGGCAATCGCGTTTCTTAGCCTCCTCCTTGCATGTGTGAAAGGCTGGTCTCATGATTGCACTACAATGTATGCTCACAGAAGAGGACTGGGAAGATTTCGACTCATATACACTGAAAAATACGTTCGAATCTTTGCGAACATCCTTCAGCGTTACAACTACGAACATTGATACTTCTGACCAAGTGCGCCATGTTGCGCTCTTGCTTCTCATTGTCAAGTTGGAAAGGGCCTTTTACCCCTTAATCGCGAGCGAAACTGCACCTGCAGCCTTGGTTGTGTGAACATTTGTAACTTGGACGATCGGGTTTTTGTGTTGGCAACAGGCCAGACCCAGGTTTGATGCACTCAAGGCCGCCGTGCTCTCTTTTTTGGGGATACCGATCGCAGCACTGCAGATTGCAACCTCAACACTAAAGCACGGGGTGTTGTCGCCGAGTTGCATAGATCAGCCTCATACATTAGGTAATCTGGGCTGTAGAGTTGTTCCACGAAAGGCTATCCATCAACATCTGGCCACTCTTCAAGATTTGTTGCTTTCTCCAGCACTCCCGCAAACCGCCTGCCTATCTCACGCGCAATCGTTTTCTCCCTTCAGAGTCGTCATCGTTTTCGGACGAACCGATGCAAGTCTCCACTTTGCAGGATTTGCCCCACCTCTCCCGCAGGGGGAACAAATTCTCTGGATGCAACAATCCGAACTAGCTACATCAGTATGAGGGAGAAATTCTAAGGGCTGCAAACCCCCAACACTCACTTCTTGGTAGTGAGTTCCCTAAGTACGTCCTCTGGTAAACGAGAGAATCTGAAGGTAAACTATGAACACTCCCTTCTTATGTTTGTTTTGAAGGGACCTTTCTTTGAGGTGCCATGCGGGAAGCTCGCGTAGTTCCATCCGTTTAGCCTTCTTTGAGTAGCTTGAGTTGCTTGGTGGCTGGCAGGTGAGCCACAATCAAAACTCGGGTAGATGAAGGTTAGTAAGGGGCAGTCTTCTGGGTAGACCATTTTACTACCGGGTTTTGAGTGTGGCTTTCGGCTGGTACTTTGGGCGTCCCCCTCCGGAGGCACGCGCGGGCGCGGCCTGTGGTGCTGCTCCAGCTGGCCGAGGCGGAGCCGCCGATGGGGCGGCTTGGCGCGCCGGAGGATTTTTCGGCGGGGTGGCAACAAGGGGGCCTCAGGTTCCCATTTGTTTTTTTAGCTGCAGAAGTGGTTGTCCATCTTCTCTTTGTTGCATGTTGCTTGGATGTTAGGACTTTAACTTGTTGCCAACTAATGGGTTTTCCATTGAACCGCTAAAAGTTAAGCTTTTAGCAGGGGAGCAACTTGCTAAGAGGGAAATCCGTTGAGCCCTGTGTGGCCAGACGGGTTTCTCCAAGCTGATGAGCCAATGTGGGCCTGGTTTTGGGGAGAGGAATCACCGAGCATGCAAGACGTGTCCTGAGATTTGTAGCAGGTACTTGATTGTTCAAGGCAAAAGAAGGGGAATCGTGGGCAAACAGTATCTTGATTGGTAACCTGATGTTCTGGATATTTTGTGGATTTGGAGCTCACCGATCCGGGGGTAGAACAATCCCACTATGATGTCGTCCTTTACTAGAAGATCCCTCAGTTCCAGTTTTGATAGTATTGTAGAATCTGCACATTGACCACCTGACTTGTAGCGTTTTTTTTTTTTTTTTTTTTTTTTTTTACCTTGATTGTTTCAGGCAAGCGCTCCAACGTGACCACTCCTGAAAGGAGATAACACCTAGCATCCGACGTAATGTGTTTGGGACTTATTGGCAAGATACTTGACTACGGAGGTTCTTGATTTGTGAATCTCCAAATTTGTTTCGGGCTGGTCCCCAGGGGTCTGTTTTTTTTTTTTGCCCCCCACCATTGATGCAAGACAAAGGGGAGAAGGAAGGGAGGCATGTTGTCCAAAGGGCCCAACCTTGGCGACCCTGGCGCGCAGTAAAAATAGTACAACTTGACATGGATTTATCACACCTGTTGTATAAGAGGTTAATTCAATTTTGTTTATTTGGGAGAGACATGGGGGTACTCACTTGGTTCCCACACAAATCACCCTCTCAATTGCCCATGTGCTAAAGCCATGGGACTTGGCGACAAGTGCACGCACCCGCGGCGCAGTCGCCCATTGCGTGTTGCCTGATTGCGTGTTGCCTGGAACTGTCCCGCAGAGGACTGTCCGTCCTCCCTGTCCAACTCCAACGGTCGATGAAGCAACCGATTGCTTTTAACATGGCTTGGATGAATTGTGGCTTTCCTCGCTCGGTGATTTTTTAAGGGGGAAACATGGGGAGTCCTGCCCGCGCCGGGAGTTCGATCCCAAAGGAGCCCTGCCACCCTGCGGAGTGCAGCGAGCACGAGTGGCAGACCGAGATCCGGCGGCGAGTGGCGGACGAGTGCCAGCGAGGAAAAGACGAAGGCCTGACGCCTGACGCCGCAAGGGGCGCCTGCTGTGTGTGCGTGTGGTTTATCTCTGTTCCCTCGTGGCTCATCGGGACGAAGAAGTCGTGTGGGATGAAGAGTTTTGTGGAGAGGGACCCTGATTCGTGACCTCATGACACTGTGTATTTGGGGTACTGACACTGTACTCGCTGGATTAAAAGTGGTCGTACATCAAACGGTACCTGCACAAGCATCTTCACGATTGACAAAATTATGTTTGTGCGAGATAGTTTTTTTTTTCTTCAACCAGTATTCAAATGAGGGTTCATCCGGTGTGGATTTTGTGGGCCCCAAAGATCCCAGGCTCCTCGCCACAGGATGCTTTGGATTTTGGCTTCTTGGGGGTACAGCCTGTTCGCACCTGTGCAAGAATGGATCATTTGGAGTAGGCGATCGAGGTTTGACGGCAATCTTTTTGGAGGTTGCCAAATTGGGGCTGGTGTGGTTAAATCCTGCCTCCTTGTTTGCGTGCAAAGACCAGCTTTCCTTTTTGCCATACGAGTCACTGACAATATCATTGGTGTTCCGCTGTTTGGTTTTGGGGAGAACCACCCAACGAATCCGGGGGTACCACCCAACAGTCCCATGTCATTTTGGAGGCGGGACAACATTCGTAATTTGTCCGTTGCTCCGGAACTTGTCCTTTGCTCCCTATGTCGGTTTGAGGCGTCGCAATTAATCGTTGCTCCGAGGCTCCGGCTGCCTCAAATTGGGCCCCTGAAAATTTTCAGTGAAAATGGCCGGTTTCCCTTGGGCTTCCCATCAATTAAGCCCAAAAAATGCTGTTTCTTGTTGGGGTTGCCTTTAAACCCACAGGCCAAAAACAGCCCTGGCTGGACCGCAGGTGCTTCCTCTCGTTCGCAGTCTGGCTCCAGGAAGTTTTTTAGGTTTCCCCCGCCCCCCAGGGCACGGTTTGGGAGGGGGCGGATTCATTCGACCAGCAACACAATAGCACTTTCAGGGGGCTGGCCAAGGCTGTTCAAGTTGATATTTTTCCTTATTTTTTGTTGCTTCCGCCAAAGTCTTTGCCATGTTTCCCAGTGGCTGGAAGCAAGGCTTTTGGGGTCACGGCCGCTTCACGTTTCAGCCAACACTCGCTCCAGCGGTTCCATTGCCGTTTGGTGAAATCTTCCTGGGCGCCATTTTATCAACGCCATGCATGCCAGCATTGAGGCACCTGGCGGTTGGCTTGGGAGGGAGGGGGAACTTCTCTTCCGCAACAGCCCCTGAACAAAACATTCTCAGACGCAACTGTCAGGCCGCCCCACTGGTTGAAAGGGCCACGTAGTGGGTCGGAATCAAACGTGTCAAAAGATTCTTTCGCATCGCTTGCTTTCATGCAGATCTGTCAACGTGAACCAAACTCTGGCCTGCTCTTCAACTGCTTGCTATCTTCAAACCTCTGGTCATCAGAATTCGCAACGCTCAGCCCTAGATGGCTCCCACTCGATGGGACCTTGGTCGGTTGTTTCAAAAAACAAAGCCAATACCAACATTCCACCCTTTCAAACAACCCTTACTTGATTGACACGGGAATTGAACCCAGAGGGTAAACGGGGTTCCCACCCCTATCCACCAATCCGAACAACCAACTGCAGGGAAGCTGACCCTTGCGGTTTGGTCATTGCGGCTTTTCAGAGGTCATTTTCACTCTTTCTCTCTCTCTCTCTCTTCCATATGGTGTTTCAAATTTTTCTAACCCCAAAATGCATGGTTTCTCATCGCTTTCCCTTCAAGGCAAACATTTATAAACGGTACCCTTGGCAAACGACACACCCATGTCAGGTGCCAACCTGAAGGATCGCTTTCCTTGGGTCGAGCAGAAAGGCAACGTAACCTGACCCTTTTGTGTCGGATCCATTGCCAAAAGAGAAGGCCACCTCAGGTCTGCGCAAGCTCCATTGGGCTGGATTCTCCTGGATTGCAACACACCCCAAGCCAGTGGTTGGGATTCGGGATTCGGGGCGGTGCGCAATGGAATCGGGCCTAACCACCCTTTCCCCATGCCGTTTCTTGCGCCTGGCGCTGAGCAACACACCTTCCCCAATTCTCATTCGAGTTTTCGAATATTCCCCTTCCCTAGCTTTTTGTAAGATGTTTGTTTCTTGCCCCTGAAGTTTGAGGGAGCGCCTATGCCCTGAAGCTTCCTTGTGGGCCGAAAGTTACCTGAGGGCCCAGACCTCAGACAGGTTCTCTGTAACATGCAACTAGGGAGGAGAAGCTAGCGCGGGAGAAGAGGGCGCCCTTGCGGAGTTGCAGGCAAGGCGTGGTGGGAAGACTACTTTCCTTTTAAGAACCTCCCTGTCCACTTCCATGATTGTTGAAAGGGTTTCTTGATTCTAGGTCGAGGTTCCTGAGAATGGGCCTGTCGGAACAAGGCCGCGTCCGAAAGCATCCAACCGGAAGAGTCCCACAAGTGTTGACACGTGACTGTTTGATTCCCTATTTGATTGATTTCCGACCAATCCAAACGAATCCAAACGCCAATCCAAAGAAATGCAATCCAATCCAATCCAATTCAATCCAATCTAATCCAAGCAAAGCAAGCCAATCCAAACAAATCCAAGCAAACCACACCAAGCCAAGCAAACCACACCAATCCAAGCCAATCCAACCACTTACCAACCCAATCTAATCCAAAGAAATTCAACAAGAGTGCAGTGCCTTTGTCCAGGCGCCACCTTGGCAAGGCCGAGGCCTGGGCAATTCTCTCGGGGGCCCTGTTGTCATTTTTTTTTCTCCCCCATGGCCACGGTGGGAATGGTCGCGGTCTCGCACTTTGGATTACGCAGCTTGGCAAATCGAGACGTAACCTTTTTTCAGCAGAAGAGAAGGAAGCCGCCTTTCCGGGGTTATTGTTCAGGTGAATGATCTAAGAATCCCTGCTTTGCTGGAAGGGGATTCACAGGTGATTTTAACATTTGTAGGGACTTGATTGTAGGATTGAGCGGACAGGCTCACACGGAGGGCGGAGACGACCCATGTCCATCTAGGAATCTTTCTTGGGAGTCCCCTATTTCAGGGGGAGTTCCAATGCCCCAAAGCGATGGTGATACGCAAGATGAGAAACACCAAGCGGATGTCGCAAGATATCTTTCAAGTATTTCGATTAGAAGTGCAAAGGCCCCTTTTGGAAGAATACTTCTCTTTGTGGGAAAGGGGACCGCGTGCACTTTCATGTTGGTGGGATGGTAGTTCGTTTCAGTTCCGGGTTGCCCTCAATTGCGAGAGCTATCTTTGAGTTGGCCAACTGCGAGCTTACTGCACATAATCAGGCTATCCGTGTGGTTAGTGGCTTCTCGAGAATGGCCTTCGACACAGAACTGGTTTCAAGGCACTGAAAGATATCATTGCGCTGGTTGGCGGCATGGGCCGCGAGATTGGCCCGGCCAAGTTAATGCTTCTACATGTGCTTGTCGGAGACGGTGTACCGACCAATGCGGCTACAAGGTGTGTCTATGCGGCGATAGGCAATGCTACAATCTGACATCGTTTCGTTGCAACGCGCGTCAGGCGAACTTGACATTGGTAGTTGCCATATGCTCTTATGCTCTTTAGCTGCCACGGCCGACGGCCGCTATTTCCAATCTGTGTTGGACTATGCCGAATTCAGCTTTTCGCTTCGCATGGAGCGCCATCTAGAGTCGATACCCCCAGTCTCGGAAGAAAGAGGTTCGAAATCTACAGCAGAACAAAGCAGCCAAATGACAATGCAACAACTCCTCAAGGTTTTCTGTGGGCTGCGAGCAGTTCCCTTTTTATACTTAAATATGTTGTCTTGTGTAATAGGCAACACGCTGCGTATACCCTCGGCACATTGCGGGCGACGTATTTGTTTGGCCCTTCTTCGCAGACTCCGTGACAAAGGCAAAGCAGAAGGTGTGGGAAGTTGGGCATCATCATTGCTACAGAAGGGTACTTGAGCGGAGGCATTTCAACAGTTGCTGCCGCTGGTGGTTGATTGCTTGGCATATTATCTTTTGTTTGAGCGTGTGCGCCACAGGGCGGTCGGCTATTCGCCTCATCTCATCTTGGGTGCCAATACCAAAAGGCTAATTGTTCTTCTACATTATTGTCATTCTCATTCTTCCTTCCATTGTCATACTAATGGTGTTTAGCTGTACAGAGCAAGCGCATGTTTGAGGCTGTCCGGGCATCGCTTGCTATTACTTTACTTCAAGGAGTACATGTCGTCGTTCAGTGTAGAGACCCGAGGTCGGGCCTCACATCTGAGCCTTAAACCAGCTAGACTGCTTAAGAGAGGGCTTTGTCTTTTCCGCTCGCAAGAAAGCGACTAGAAAACATGAAGTTTTGATTCAGTGTGGGGTGAAGTTGATGATCATGACTCTATTTGGCAGAGCCTGACCATTTTAACATGTGGGTATGGTCAAAATTGAATTACCAGGGGACCGCAGGTGTTTGTCCTTGTTTCCATTTACCAGGGTTTCACTTGGGGTATCTAATTTGACCCACACCCATTCACTGCTATGCGATGAAACGGAAGCGAGGCCGCCCCTCGCATATTTTTCCGCACTGCGCCCGGACGGATGGACCGCAGGCCGGCCCTTGCCTTTGGCTGCAGGGCTCTTGCCAGCAGCGGAGGCCCATCGCGTTTTTTTTTTTTTTTTTTTTTTTTTTTTTTAAACTACTACTACTACTACTACTACTACTACTACTACTACTACTACTACTAATAATAATAATAATAATAATAATAATAATAATAATAATAATAATAATAATAATAATAATAATAATAATAATAATAATAATAATAATAATAATAATAATACATAATAATACTATTGACCCCACAGTTTTCTCAACCCCGGTTTATTAATAGGGGGGGTCCCTGGGATTAGTGGGGAATCCGACAACTGGAGGGCTCCCCCACCCCCTATGAATAAACTGGGTGGTTGATTATGGGGTCAACATAATTCAGCTTAAAGTTTATGAAATCAAATTATGTACCTCATCATCAAGGGACACATAGGTGTGTCCTCATTTCTGACCTAATGCCATCCTCCCTTTCAAGCAATCATGGAAACGCCAAGAGGTTGGAAGACAAAACCATCCCTTTCGGGACATTTCCCGATCTTTCACTTCCATTGTTGGAAAGAGGCTACTCTCCTGCATCATGAAACCCAGATAGGGCTGTTTTAGGTCCCATTAAATCTGGAGGGTACTTGCCTGGGTATACTCGTTTAGCCTGATTTGCAATCTTCCCAAAAGACAGCAGATCCTCTATTGAACACCCAGTTACCCGGAGCTACTGTGTCTGGTTGTAGATCCCAAGATGGGAAGCTAGACAACGGTTTCTTATTAAGTGAGCCGGGACTATGGCCTGCAAAGTATTGTTTACGTCTCGCCTGATAAAGCCACCATGATTCAACCGGCTTCCTTGGGTTTCCCTTGAAGGCAATCAGTTCTGGTTTGCTGACCCAAGCGCATGGGGGAGGGTTGAAGATGTATGGGCTGTTTTGTTGAGAATATGCGCCCGCAGGCAAGCGGTTGATGTATGGAAATTGTGGATTCAGAAAGACATGACGTGGCTGGGTAGCAGTTATATGACTTGCTTACCCCCCTTGGACGGCACCTATGAATGGTCAAAGCAAAAATGCAAGGCTGCCCTCGCGGTATACTTCCCCTACCTGTAGTAGGGGAACAGCCCAGGAAGTCTCATTCCAAGCATGTTTGAGCACCTTGACTGATTTGTCACCTTGGTTGGTACAGCTCCAGCCCTCAATTTGCCGTTTCGGGGGCATTTTATTTGTTGATCAAGGACCTGTAGATGTTAACACACACACACAAACAGCAGGAAAAGTAGCCAGTTGGACAGAAAGACGCACATCAGGCAGATGTGATCAAACAAGCTGCTGGCAGTCCTGCGCAACCTGTTCTGCTTCCCCCCCCCGCCTCCAAATTGCTGGTTCCTCTCGGAAGAGGTCAGTCGAAACACCCGGCAAAGGAGCACATCGATCGGACTCCATACGACGTCTAGACGGCGTCCCATTCGGCGACCCAGAGACAAATATGCAGGGGCTCCTGTTTGGAATACATAAACCACTGCTGGGTGAACGTCTGTTTGAGGCTTGGGACTCGGGGGGGTAACCTGAAAGTCGAACTTTGACTGTAGACACTCTCAAAACAGCGTCACCTAGTTCTCGCCATGAGGTCCTATGGACGAAGGGCTTTGGAGGACAGCTTTCCTGTTGGCAAATTGCCCACTTCCATGATGATTGGAAACAGGGTACTCAACAGTCAGGCAGTCCAGACATTGACCTGTCTAATCCACAGTCAGTCTGCCCATGACGCAGGCCTTCTGCTATACCAGCCTTCTGGGCGCCTTTCCTGCGTGCGCTGCTCTGGTGAATCTGGCAAAAGGGCCATCGAAACTCAGACGAAGTCGTTTCCATGTTTGCTGACTATCGATTCCAGCATATTGGATGGCTTCCGGCCAGGTCCTTTTTGTTGTGTGGCGGGTAGGGATCTCGCAACCACGCTGAGCCTTTGGTGTGACAGATAGCGGGCAAGTGGACATGACAGCGTTAATGACAAGATGAGGCTTCCACAATCTGCACAAAGGGAGCTGTTTGGTGTGACTAAAGGATTCAGAATGCTCTCCCACAACATGTTTGTGATGTACCCAGGGATTCTGAACGTCAAGGAACAAATCTCCGCACTCGCGCTTTGGGTTCGAGTGGAGTTTTTTCCTTGGACATGGCCAATCAGACCAGTCCATGAAATCGCGCCGCTTACTCTACAGGTTTGCATGGAACCCCCGAAGCTATCCCTTTTCTTGCAGCTGGCAAAACTTGTTTAAGCAATCCCTCCACTTTGAAGTGTTAGGGAAAGGAGGCTCTTCGAACAATGTTTATTTAAACATGACGAAAAGAGCGGAATGAATCGCCCAGCCCTGCCTTTTTGGGCAACCCAGGTTGACCTGCTTTTTGGCGGCGCCGCATTTTGGGAAGCCTCCTATGTACCGCAGGTACATGCTGGGCTGGTATCGACCTTCTGCCATACTAGGTGCGGCTTGCAGCTTTTTCCTCCCCCCTCAGCTCGTTTTGACAACCGCCCCCAACAGCGTCTGGCTTTCACGCACGGCCGTTCACTGGTCAGGGACCATCTAGAATGGATGAAGCACGATTTGAAACATGGGACAAACCACACACTGGCGCAGCCTTTTCAGATTCACAGCTGAAATAGCTGCGATTGTTACAACACTCGAGGGGGTCAGCCAACCAACATAGGCTTCCCTTCTACCACAGGGTTCCCTTGAGATGGTCAATTATGCTGTGTATGAACGAAATTCGTTCGCACCACCTAAGAAGCGCTGGAATGATATGATTCCCCTGTAAATTGCCAAGAAACGTTGTGGTTTCCCTTGGTTTCATTTCGTGCTGCGATTCCAGGATTTCGCGTCACCATCCACAGTAGGCTTCCCTTCTTATCACCAAACAGAACCTTTGGGTTGAAAGTCACCTCCGGAGGTCTCCTGCTGCTGAGCTTCTCTCTGGCCGTGGCTCCCGTCTTAAAGGCGCGAAGAAAGCCGCGGAGAAGCAGATACGGCACAGCCCCCGGGCGAACGAATCCTTGAATCCAGGACTCAAGGAGTTGGGATTTCATGTCGATGACCATCAAACGGAAAATGTGGAGGTTTTCTACACCTCGTGTTCTCCCGAGGTTTTTTTGGGGGGCCGGAATGCCGCGGTCGGCGTCTCCAGATCAGATTGGCCGACAGTTGACGCAAAGTCGAGGGCCGTGAGTGTGCAGATGTTAGGTAATGTTGTTCTCTAAAGGTAAGATTATGTAATGCAATGTATTGTAGTGTCATGTTGATTGATGGAATGTACATATTGCAGATGTGATGTGATATAACCAAATGCAATGCAATGTAATGTAAAGTAATGTAATGTAAGTAAAATAGAGTTCACGATATGTAGACGTAGATGTAGATGTAACTGTATATGCAAACACACATGTAAGTCACAATGTATGGTATGTATCAGTCGGTCTATGTGTGCATGTGTTTCTATGTGTGTGTGCATGTGCGTATGTGCTTGAGCACTTTTTTTGTTCTGACAGGTGCCACGCGAGCCGGGCGCACAGGTGTTGCATCATGGCGTTCCAGAGTAGTCCCCTTTGTGCAGGAGAACCTCCCCCCTGCAGGAAAGGTTCGGAAGCAACCTTCTGGGAAGGGGTTCTTAGAAGGGTTCTGAGGCCCTAATTCATGTCCATCCTCAATGTGAGAAAGTGGCAATGCGCACGTCTCTTGATGGGATTGAATTGCAACAACATGGCAACTCCCTGGATTTGAGGGCACTCGGACTTTCTGCTTGTGGCTTTGAGAATTTCCACCTGCGGGAGGGGGTCCTTGGAGTTTCCGTGATCTGTTGCTTCCCCAACAATTATCGTCACTTTGCCCGCTTCCACTTTCTATGCTCCAAACCCCACAATCGATCCCATCCGCGGCCAAGTTCTCCCACATGCAGCTGCCAAGCGCTGCCCAGTCCATCGTAAGCGTTGTTCAGAAGTCGGCGAGCAGGACTCAACCAAAAGAAGGGGGTCTTGCAAGAGTCAGACTCCTCTACGCGGGTGTTCTTCGCCTCGCTTTGGGGGGGGGGGGGCTGGAATGGGGGCACCTCGTTTCTGGGGTTTGGTGTCTCTCTGGTTTTTCTTCTGTTTGGCTTGTTGTTCGGATTCCCCTTGCCGTCGGTGGCCTTAAGAATCGCCCACGAGGTCAGACAAGGGCTTCCGCCGGGGGCCCTTGACGGAACTCGAGCCGTTCGGAGCTCTGCTCGGTGCCTTCGAACGGTGGGTGTCAAAATAGGGAGCCTGCAGAATGGTTTCCGGTTCGGTTTCCCTTCAAAACCATACCCTGAGGAAAGCCACACCTTTGTCCATGGTCTAGTTCTTTGAGTGTTTGTCAAAATCCGAGACCCCTCGAGGTGGTTGGTTTCCTTTTGCTCTCCCATTAAACCTATCATCCGCAAAGGGTTCCCTTATGTTGGCACAGATATCTATTCCTTTTTGGTGGGGTTGGCAGGGACTCTCTGAATTTCAAACGCACGACCCAGACTCTCTCCCTTTCTCTCTATAGTATGCCCATGTCGATGACCGTTTGCCATGTCATCCCCGCCGGAATCATGTGTGGGAAAAGGTCCTAGTCCGGAAGCATTTTTTGTTTGGCGGGTTTGCCCTGTTGGATGGATTGAAAAAGGTAGAAGAAGATGCATGCCCAGCATGGTTTCTGATGGAGCTGTTCAGCGAGGATCAACCTCTAAGTATCATGTGCAGAACGATGCTGAGCCCAATGTCCCGCAATCGCAGCACCAGGATGTGCCAAGAGGCGACATACAAGTGATTTTGCTGGAGTTGAGTCTGTCCACAGAATTATGGCACTTGCATAAGAAGCGACCAGCTTCTTTCGCTGGGTACCTTCTGCGAGGTGTTTATTCTTCTTTGTTCAGTCCCTTGCCCAAGGTGCATACCTCAGGGGACGATTCCGGGGACTTGATCCACAAAAAACTAAATGAGGATTATCCAAGTCTTAAATGAAAACGAGCTCTGGTGGTACAATGAGCTCACACGGCAATTTGCCCCCCTTTTGCGGGATTCCTGATTTCCAGTTTGTGAGTTTGTGTTCATTTCCCCGGATCTGAGTGCTTCCGTGCTTTGGGTGCAACAGACTGGCGAAGAGGCCGATGTGCAGATGCGGTTGAGCGCGGGTGCCCGGAGAGGTAGGTGCTTGCGATTCGGATCTATCCCATGTGAGCCCTTGGATTTGAAGGAAGCTGAACAGACACCGAGCAACTGGAGGCGAGCACCAAATTTTGAGAAGCACCGATTTGGGGGCGAGCTGGAAGCCGACTTTAGCACTCTGCACAAAGCATGCTGACAGTTATGTCGGTTGTTTTGTCCCAGACCCGCAATAACATCAGCGATGGGCGCCGACTAAAAGGATCATCAGTCCAGCATTTTCAGACAACTTTCTGGCTCCGGGTTGACTTGGAGGGCCGGTTCTGCATCGCACATGGCCTTTCTTGGGCGGTCCTTCAGTACAGACGTTCTTGCCTCAGTTCGCTCCTTGTTGCCAAATCTTTGAACGGATTCCCAATAGTTCTCTTGTGTTTGCTTTAAACCTCACATTTCGTTCGGCCCAATTTAAAGTGAGCTTCCTTTTGCTAGGGTGTTCAGGGGGAAATTAGGGAGCCCTGCAGAATCTTGCGGGCGCCAGAGTGGTTCTGGTCTCGTGTGCCGCGTGGAGCGCATTGAACCTGGAACACTGCCCTTTTGTCCACCCGACCCCGAAGCCCACCCTAAACCACCCCCGAATTTTGAGCCAACCCCATCAGCATTCTGCGAGAAAAAGGGAGGTAGCATCCTGCGCTCCATGCTCCCTGAGGCCCACAACCAAGTTGGTGGGTCTGACGCGCCAAGAGGCCGAGACCGGCCTGCCCGGAACTTCGCCGTTGTTTTGCAACCGGGAAGAATGCGTTGGCGCACTTTGCTGCATTTGATGAGTTGGGGTTTGTGCCCCCCGGTTTGGAGAAGATGCCAACCTGGCCAAGGGCGCTTCACTCTGCTAGAGTGGGGCAAAGGCATGGTGGTGGATTTTTAGGGCCCATTTTGTGCATCACCGGGAAGAACAGCAACAGCCCACATTCTTAAGCCATGCGGTCAGCTCCCGGAGAGGTTGCCTTTGCAGAGGAGGTGCTCGAACGAGACGCCGAGGCACGTGAAGATGTACGGACTCCCGTGCATTTTCCGGGGCTTTGCTTTGACAGGGGCCCTTGAAGGATACATTTGGGCCACTTGAAAGTCACCATTTTCAGCTGAATCAGAGGATCCCCTTTTAAAGTAGCTGGGTCTTGGATGCACCCTTTGAGGAGCCGTGTTTGAAGAGATCAGGGCCTAGTTTGGGGACCTCGGGTGATGCACTGTGCTGCCTTGACAGGGGTCCTCAAAAAGGGTCGCCATTTTGTGAGCATGCCAAGTCTGCATGTGTAATTGTATTCATGTATTTAATTAATGTTTTGTTTGCCAGGTTTCGTTTATCAAAGGCATAAAATGAGTGGCGCTTGTGCATTTGGGCACGGACTCCTCTCATTGTGAGTTACTTTTTCTCAGCGCAGGTCGCACACAGATCCCGCTGGTGCTTGAGAGAATGGGAATGTTCCGATTGCTTGCATGAAAGGACAATCCCGTGTTTTTCACACCCGATGAAACCCATTGCTAGAACCCATTCAACGGGTCACCCAAGTTTGGGTTTGTTCCAGTATTGCAGGTTCTTCTGAGGGCTGAGGTGTGGCCTTCTGCCGGGAATCTTTCCAAATTTATCTTCTATAAATAACGATAAAAAAAACATAATTGAAGAAAAAGAAAATAATAAAGAAATAAATAAACATAAAATTACTAACAAAAAAATAAATATTAAACATATAAATAAAAAGATAGAAAAAGAAGAAATGAGATTTGCGGGTGATACGTCAACAGACCGGCAGTCACTTGGGGGACTGGGAATCAGTCAACCTGATGAGGGCTTTGGCAACGGCAGGATCTCAACAAACTGGATTTCGAAGGGAGATTTGGTCAACATTTCTTGATTTGTCTATGGCCCATGCGGGCACATAGGAGATTTCCCATGTCCTCTAAGGGAACCCTCAAGAAAGGGCACCCACATGGGCGGGTGGGATTTGGTTTGGGTGGTCAGGAGCAACTGGTGACTGGCGAAGACGCAGGCGTGGATGGGGCTCGGGAGGCTACCAGATCCTTGGCCCAAGTGAACCCCTCCGGCTCGTTTCAGGGTGAAATGGTGGAAGAACAACAATGCAATGCCTGGTCCATGGGGGAGTCCCAAGGGTCAGGCCCAACGCTCCGATGGAGCTTGTTCCTCTGCAACATGACAACAGACCCCTGGCTCCCCATCCAAAAAACAGCAAAAGGAACACGAGAGAGGTGTCCCGCGTCCAGTTGCTCCTGTTTCCCGATTGCCTCCAGGTGTCGTGTGGCGCCGGGAGCTGCGGCTGCTGCAGGAGGCCGTGGAGGTGGGACCAAACTGTTCCAAAGCCGCAGGACTTTGGGCGGGGGCGGGGGGGTTCCAGGGGTGGATGCAAGTCCTTTTTGGGGGTAGACAAAGATGAAGATGAGTAAAGGATGGTCCCCGCACTTCTTGTTTGTGTGTAGGTGTGTTTGTGTATGTGTTCGGTTTTGGGAGTTGGTACAAAGAGCCAACAGGAAACCCACCATGTTGGAAATTTCCCGATTTTATTGGGTTATGGACAACCACCAAAGGGAAGCCTTTTTTTTGAAGGTTGGTAGCGTTTTGTGGATGTTTGAAAGGGAGACCAAAAGGAAAGCCAATGTTCTGGGGAGGTCTCTCCATCTTAACACATATTCACATGGGGCTTTAAAAAGGGGGGAAGGTACCCCAACGGAACAAGGGTGCCCTGGGGTCGCTGGACCTTTCATGCGATGGGAAATATGGCCATGATCTTTTCTAAGGAACCCCTTTCCAGGTCTATTAACCATTTAAGTCGCAGACCATGTAATCAAGCATACGCATCTCGACCAGCGACAAACACACTGCTCGTGTGGCGGCTGGGACCGGCACGTGACGCACCCGCGAGGCGCAACTTGGCATTCTGCACCATGGCGCGGGTGTTGCGCCTGAATGAGTTGGCATGGCCGCATGCCTTGAAGACAGGGCGCTTCAGTCAAAATGCGGTTTCATCCGCCCCGCAGAAGAGGATCAAGGAAGGGCTCTGCTTTGTGTGCTTTGGAGAGCACAAGGAAGGGCTGCCGAGCTTTGGAAAGACTTGCGGACTTCTGGCCAGGGGAAAGGGGCACTCAATTGCGGCTTGTGCCTTTGTCTTTTTTGGAGGACAAGCTTCAGGGTGTGGTTCCAGGAGGACTGACTGTTGTATTCTTGAACTCGCAGTGGGACTCAAGTTAGGGCTGAAACAGAACCAGCCAGTCAGCCTCCTGGGACAGGCACTGTTCCGGATAGGACACCAGTGGGAAATCAGAAGTGTTTCTCAGCAGAAGACAGCGATTTCACTGTTTCTGGCCGGAAGGGCTTGACCACTTCTCCGGAAGCTCTATGCTTTTCTGGGCTTGATGCGAATCTGTGTTCTGGGCATGCTTTGTTTCAAGGGTACTCCTTTTGGGGCTGGTTCGGGGAACAAGCAGGCCACCCATGTGGGTTTGGCATGTATTCGGAGGCAACCCATATGGTGTGGCCATTTTTGAGGGAAGCCTTGTTGGGCTTGCTTTGAAGCAAAACCAAGAGAGAACAAGGGGCTCCATTTGGAGGGTAAACCCATGGTGGGCCCTGTATTTGCAAGGCATGTCCACAAGGGCCCTCATGCAAAATTATTGGTTTCTCTCGGTGTGATTGGATATTCATGTGTTGATAATGGGCCCCAAAGAAGCTAAACATTTTTGGGAACCGTAACTTTGAGACAAACCCATTCAGAATGGCACACCCCTTATCATTCAGGCGTTCATTGCTGGATTCCGCAATCAGCATCTGGAGTACACTTTCGGGCAATTTAAGCGGTCACGTACAGCTGATTTAGAGGATCCTTTTGGAAAGCAAGTGTGTCTTGTGACGTATACCATTGAAAGCAACCTCTGTTTCAGGGGTCTTGAGTTTGACGGTTTTCTTGTAAACCCGGTTTGGAAGGCAGACGACGTGGAGGCACTTCCTGGAGCCATCCGGGCGGCGGAGGCGTTGCTGGGGCTTGGGATGCGCTTCGAAGCTGGGTGTGTGTGTGTGTGTGTGTGTGTGTGTGTGCGTGTGCGTGTGTTTTCTTTGTCCCAGGACGCATGCGGTGAGGCTACCCTTCGTTGGTGGTTTGGATTCCCAGTGAGCCCCAGCAGCTTGTGACACATCCGGAAGGCCCCAACATCCAAACCATCAAACCACACCAGTTGGGGGTAAGGTGACGCGAAGGGGTTCTTCTTCTTGAAAAAAACAGGTGCGAACTTCTCCCACCAACCGCTCCTGTCAACTCTTTCGAGTGTTACCCGCCAAGTTCTCCTGCCAACTTTACTATATCTTAAAGGCACGATCTAACATCAGTATTTTAGATATACGCAACAAATGGTAGCTGGTCCGGTGTTGCTTCATTATCCGAACAACCAAAAAAACAAGCTACCTTTTCTTCGCTAACATCAGTATCCAAATTCACGAGCAATAAGCCAACGGGAGCTATCGAAACGCACCCTCTTTGCGGAGATCGTGCGTGGCGAAGCGCTCTCGCAGTGGCGCCGTGCAATGGCTGTGGCGCCGCGCGAATTTCCAAAGACGGTCCGGCTCGAAAATTGTAACTCTTCAATACGAAAGTAGTAGGCCAAGTAAGCTTTTCGAGCTGTGGCTTGAAAAACCGCACTTTTTCAGCACGAACGTGGAGCTTCGGTTCGAACGGGGCACTTGTAACTCCAAAGTAGCACGGGCAACATTTACAAATACGAAATTGCTTCGCAAAGCACGCTCCTGCAGCTGGAGCGAAGCCAGACAACGCCAGCAAAATCAGCAACCCACACCCTCAGTTGACGCGTTTCTGTTGTATTTTTTTGTTTTTTTTTGAAGTGTTTTCCGATGTCGAGCAACGCCGGGTGAAGCAAAGGGAATGCTCAAATTGCAACGTTTAATGAAGTACGAAAGTAGCGCGAAGTATACTTGTATACTCTTGTCCAGCTGCGGCTCGGAAATCGCACCGTTCAAGTATGAAAGTAGCACGCGTCGAGTTCCACTCTTGTCACGCAAAGCTGGCCATGATATCCAAGCTCAATATCTGCTTTCGTGCTAAAAAGTTACGCTTTCCAATTCCCTCGCAGGTCCAGCTCGCAAATCACAATGTTTAGTGTTTAATTCGTGTAAAAATAGGATGTTAAGTAAGTCAATATATGTAAACAACCAACCACGCAATCTCCAGTAAGATGCGCAGCGCTCGACCACTGTGAGCAAAGGCTCTGGTCGCAATTCGCGTGTTGCTATGCTCTTGGGCCACCCTGGAAACAACGTTGGTTCCACAGAATGGGGCATTAGTATTTGTCATTTGGTGCCTGTGTCTTTCATTTGTGTGCATAGCTGCAAAACACCTAAGGTTAACCCCGGAGTAATCAACCCCTGGTTGATTTTCATGGGGATGGTGTCCCCTTTTAGTGGTTGGATTCGGACCACTTTTTGGAGAGAGCAGCCCCCCCCTCTTCTGACGCGGGGCCTGAAGCTTCGGGTGAGGCGGCCGGCGTGGCGGCCTCGGAGCTGGCCTTCGCCGAGGCGGTGCTGGCGCAGCGGGTGGCCCAGCGCCGGCAGGGGGCCTTGGAGGCGGGCGCCGGAGGGGCGCGGTGGGAGAGGGGGCGGGAAGGGGCGGTGGGTGCGCGTTTTTTTTTTGGGGGGGGAGGAGGGGGGGGGGGGTTGGGGGAGTTGTCTTCAGTCTTTCTTGGGGTTGGGGAGCTTTTTTTCAATTGTCAATTGGCAGGGGTGTTCTGGTGGGAGGAAAACAGCCTTCAAGGGTGACCCTATGGATGATCAATTCCCCGCCTAGCCCTCTTAGCAGAGGTTCATGTTCAAATCGCAGTGTGACAATGACACCCTGCCTCCCTCACATTTTTCGAAAGGTCGCCCTTTGCTGGCTAGCTTGAGCTCCTGGGACCTCCAACATGGTGACTTTCCCTTTTGGTTTTCCTTTCAACCAACCCGAACCTCGAAAAAGAGCACGCCCCATGAGACCTTGTTCCATTCCCCCCAACAGTCCCCACAGTCCCCAACCCCGCCTTCTATCCCTTCGGTGGTTTTCCCTAACCTACTATCCCATTTGGGCGTGTCTTTAGTTGATGGTACCCTCCGCCAGGCGCTGCGGAGGGTCACCGCAGGGCCCGGCGCGGGCCGCGGACATGGGCGGGCGGGGTGCGGCGCAAAGGGGCGCGGAGCGCGGAGCGCGGACCCGGGGGGAGGTCTGAAAGGATGTTTTTCTGGGGAATGGAAGGCAATTTGGGGTCTGATAGATTTTGTTTGCTGACCCGGTTTGGGTCTGAAAAGAATGTTTGCTTCTTTTGAGCTTCGCTCTTTGCCCGAGGGGCAAAAGGGGGATTGGACGGTGAGCCTCATAGCTTGATAACTGGGCAAAGAGCTAAGTGCAATGCTATGACACCAACTTTTGGCCTACTTTGAAACCCAGGAATTTGGGTGCTTCTTTTCCAACTTTGAGCCGCGCAGTAGGGAGCAACCGTTTCGAGCTTCGAGCCGCAATCAGCAGATTGCATCACCCATATTTTTTGCCACCGTTTTGATCATGGCACGGGCAAATGTGACGTGGCCTTGAAAGTGTTCTTCAGTGCCCTATGAATTCCCTACAAACCGAGTTGGTGTTGGCCCCCATGAGGTACTGTTCCATGGCACTCCGGCCGTTCCACTGGATGGCGGATTTGACCGCTTGCCACTAAAGTGTTAGCCCAAGTTCGGGTCGAAGCCCGGCACCCACGTGAACGAGGCCGGGGGGCCCGAAATGCACTCCATCCCTTGAGCTCTGAGAAACTTGCCCATTTCTGGTCTAACACGCACCATAGGCCAACTATTGCACGGATTCCTTGCAACGGTCAATATTCTCCGTCATCTACTGTAGCAAAGGGGATGGCATGAGGCGCACACACCAAATCACCACTAGGAAGCTCGCGGGTTACTCACCAACTTCCCATGTTCGTTGGGGGAACGAGGATTATTGATGGTCCGTTCGTTTTGTCAGCTAAGAGCCCCTTGCGAAGTATGGGGCTCTCAATTTGTTTCCAACTTGTACGCCGACAAAAGTAGACCCGACTTCCATAGGGGAAACTACACCCGAATTTGTATTGGTGGTTTGCCTTCGGTTGCCCAAGCAGAATATGGGTCAGAGATCACCCCGTCTTTCGGGTTTTCAAAGGGAAACCGCAGGAATTCAATCTTTTGGGTTTGGGGGGTTGCACAAATATCAGAGACACACCCATGTAAACACAGAGCAAATATATATATATATATATATATATATGGTACCCCCCCCCCCCATGGACCCTGGTTTGGTGCGGTTGACCTGTATTTTCCAGTGTTTTATGCTTCTTTTTGCTTCTTGGATTTGTGTCAAAATTGGGGGGAGGGTCGTACATGTATATGATACGCATGCATGCATACAGATGTGATAAAAGCAATGACATCAGCACCTGCAATCTGAAAGAGTTTGAATGCATCCAAGAATACAAGAACAACTCAGACATTTTTGAAAATTATTAAAAATTCTGGGATTCAAGATTCAAGAATGTGAGAACATATTTTCTGGGAATCTTGAACCTTGAATCCCATAATTTTTTTAAAAATTAAAAAATCTGGATTCAAGATTCAAGATTCAAGAATCTGAGAAAATATTTTCTGGGAATCTTGAATCTTGAATCTTGAATCCCATAATTTTTAAAAAGTTTTAAAAAATCCAGGGTTGTCCCAATACTCTCGGTGTTCAATAAGATTCTCGGATTTTTTTCCCGTGAAATAGTTCAATCCAGTGGTAACGGATGTTCGAGGTGATAGAACAACTTGAACATTTTAGGGGTTGACCAGGATGGATGATTCTCAGGAAAGTGGTGGTTTGTGGGCTCCTCAATATTGAATCCCCAATCCAGTGGTAAAGCACTTTCAAGTGTTAGAAGAACTTGAATGCTATTTGGGTTTGGCCAGGACTGACAATTCTCAGGAAAGTGTTCTGTGTAATCTTCAATATTGAATCTTCCATCCGATAGTAGCAACTTTTCAGGTGCTTAGCGATCCAGTGGACACACTTTCAAGTTATTGGTTAGACAAACTTTCAAGTGCTTTTGGTGAGCTTCATGTCAGCTATGCTCATGTTGACCCCTTTCCAGGAGGTAAACAAAGGCAGGTGCAACGCTCAAAAATACTGCATTTTCCAGTATTTTATGAGGAGGTGCAGGATCATTGGGGGTACTATATATGTGTGTATGTATGTGTATTTATAGATATACATATCTATGTACGTTCACACACCGTCCCCCACCCTCTTCAACTACCTGTCCACATTTGCTCATCTACTACCTCCACCTTTTGACATAGAATTAACTTTCCTGCGCAAATAGAACTTTAAATACAACGGTTTAGCTAGAATCCCTGTTTCCAGATAGTTTTAGATTTTGAACCTCTCTTCCCTTGAAATTTCCCTTTGGAACACCGTGTAACAAGTTCAATGTCGGACCTTTCTTATGCTACAAAAGGGCCAGAATGTAAACAACACAATTCCTATTTTTAATTTCTAAATGTTTAGCCATATTTAATATGAATTATATTTGAGATGTAGTCTCTATTCACTTGATATTATCAAAAGCAAATTGAGTTGTGTTCGTCTTAGATTATACTTACCACTTGGATTACATTTGGGAAAAAGCTTCCATCTAACTTCTTGTGTTATAGATTAGTTGGAGTTTAGCCGAAAATATATATTTACATTTTCATGTAGCTGCTATTTGGAAAGGATTTGCTTGTTTAAGCTGTAATTGAACATAAACACATTTTTGAAAACTATATCCATACTAAACTATGTTGAAAATTCGAATTCTAGTTGAAGTACCATCTTATGTGCAAAGGGTATCATACTGGGACATTATGGAGGACTCCGGGCTCCAAATTATCATGCTTTGGGACCCGCAATTGGAAATTTCGAGAATATAAATTTGGAAATTCTAGAGTTGCCATCCCCAAAAGGCAGTAAAACCAGGGTCCATGGGGGGGGGGGGTTGCATATATATATATATATATACATAGTTATATATATATATATTTATGTATATATATATATATTACATACATAGATACACATATATATATATATGTATATACAGACAGTACATCCTATCACATCACATTGCCTCACATTGCATTCCACTCCGATGCATTGCATTGACTTTGCCCGGGGACCGCATTGAACTTACATTGCATGCGTTTCTGTGAATCCTCCGTGGTGGCCATTGTCATCACGGTATGGGATCCCTGTGCTCTGTTGCGAGCACTCCGAATCCACCACAGGGGTGGTTTCGAAGGGAAGCCGAAGGGAGAACCGCAACTTCGGGGTTCCCTATTTTGAGACGCACTCCGGTCTGGGAAATATAGGGAGCCCTGGCCGGGAGTGTATTTATTTTCGGGACATTGCCCGCCACGAACAGGGGATGAACATTGGGTTCAAACGCTGAAACGGTCGAAGGCCAAATTGTGGTGACGGAAACTGTGTTAGACGGGGCCCAAGGGAGCGTGGATGCCCCAAACATGCAAGTACACCAACCAGACCGCACAACACCATGGCAAACAGCTAAATCTACCAACCACACCATACCCAACCATACGCAAAGCATACCCAAAGCATACGCAAAGCATACCCAAAGCATACCCAAAGCATACCCAACCATACCCAAAGCATATGCAACCATACCCAAAGCATACCCAACCACACCCAACCAAGGGCTTCTTTGTTGCCCTTGCAGTACTGAGTTGGTATCCACCAAAGCCGACTCTTCGAAGCTTGAGGCCCAGTGGAGGCGGTGAGAATCCGGTGCGCGGTGCTTATGGCGAGAGCCGCCGGTGTCAGCCCGGGAACCCGGGACTTCTTTATCCTTCTTCCTCTTCTTATATATTTATTGTTATTATCTCTTTTGGAACAATGTGTGTGTGTGGGATTGTGAGTGTGCTTGTTGTTCTGTTCGTTGCCTTCTCCTTCTTGTCGGTTTCGTTTTGCCGGTTTTGTCGTTTCTTTTCGTTTGGTCTGCGCACGTTGAGACAAATTCCGTGGTTCAATCCCACTGCAGCGAGAACGAGCTCGCCGACTCGGGTTCAGGAACCCGAACTCAGCGGATCAGATGAGTAGATGAGCTCGAGCTTGAGTGTCAGATGGCGCTGGAGACATGTGGCAGGAGCTTCCGAAAGGCTGACGATTCGAATAAGGCTTTGGCTTGGCTTGGCTTGGCTTGCTTGCTTGGATGTCTGGTTCTTTCAACTCAATGAACTGCCTGTAACCTGTAGGTTCGACTGCACCATACTATAGCTGGAATGGCAACAAACTGCGCATGGGCATCTCAACGAGCAAATGGGCGAATTGCAATGTCCCTTGGCAATCGCCAGACGGATGATCAACCGTCTGCAGATCGCAAAAGTTGCTTTCCAACAAACCCCGCAGATCTGTGCTTTGTTTTCAGACAGCTCTGCAAGTTGAGCCCAACAACAGCCTCCGTTTCCCAGGATATTCCTCCAGAAAATGGACCGCCGCTCAGATCCACTCGCGGCCCAGTCTCGAGTCGGCGAGTCCAAGGCAGGGAGGACCTGCGCCGCGCTGAGGAGCTGCGTAGCGCCTGCCCGGGGCCAAGAACGCATTGCTTGCTTGTTTTTCTTTTTTTTTCTCGAGGCTCGAAAATTCGCCATGTTGGTTTGCAAAAGGGAAACCACAAGGAAACCATCCGGTAGTGATGTTGGTTTGTAAAGGGGAAACCACAAGGAAACCATCCATATTGGGGGGTTTCGCTATTTTGGACGCATGCCATGGATACAAACGAGCCAATGAATGGGCTGAAGGTTGGGAGTGCCATCCATGCGGATGTCCGCCCTCTTGAGTCTTTGCATTGTGTGTAGACTCCAAGGCCGGGTTTTGGTTGTGACTCACATGCGACAGAGACAACTACTAGAAGTTCATGGGTGCACCTTCTTTTGAAGGCACCCTTTTGGTTTGAATGGAAATTAAAGGGACATCTCCCATCTTGGGGGCTGCACCATTTGGGGACAAACAAATCTTGTCGGTAGACACAGATGAGTGTAGATACGGATGAGTCACTGAGAAAACTCTGCTGATGGTGTGTTGGTTTGGGCAGAACGACCAGTCAGTCGGGGGGGGGGGGGGGGACCTAGATTCCGAACAAAAACCGGGACCACCAATTTCCCATGTCCGTTTGGGGAAACCAGCAATTTTGTCCGTTGCTCATGCGGAAAGGTACCTCTGTACATACAGATACGTGCGTACAGATCAAACCTGGAGTGAACGGCGCCCTTACGCAGGACGATCATACCGCACAGGCCATCGATGGCACGAATCGAACAGAGCAGTTAATGGTTTGGAACGATTTCACTAATGCGCGCTTTGGAGACGCCGGGCAAAACACCAAAAAGCACACCTGTCTTGTGAGGCATCCTGTCTTCATCTAAGGAGCCAGCGTTCGGTGCCCCAAGTTTCGATATTTTGGCTCAACCTTGTGTGTGTGTGCCGAGTCCCAGAGCCCCAGAGCCATCTTGGGACCACATTTCATATCATGCAGGGGGACCATCCAGTTGCTGTGTGCGATGGTCCAACGAGACGGCCGCAAATGCGGATATCGAGGCTGATCACCTCGACGTACCTGCGCAACATCGTTCTGTCAACAGAGCCGTTTTGTGTTGTGTGTTGCGCCGTTGCTTTATAAGGACCAATGGCTCGATCGGGGAACCCTAAACCCTAAACCCTAAACCCTAAACTCTGTATGGTTGCACTGACCACATGGCCGTGTGCCTCCCAAGGGTGGCAGTTTTTCACGTATAGCGACGCTTCAATTTTGGGTGAACGCTTTAACAGGCGCGCTTGATTTGTGTGGCGTTGTATTTCACTACGACGGCAGCAGTACGTTTTTGCATGAAGAACATGTGCAAACTGCACAGTCCGTGAGCAGTTTGCGCATGATATTGACAGACGCTCTGGTTTGTGTGTGCGAGAACAGTTTGCAGGGAAGGTGCAGTCATATACACCTTGCAGATGAGTTGCTCACTGGATTTTGCTTTCACGGTTGCAGATTCTTTTGTGCAGATGTGTCAACAGCAAGCCTGTGATGACACGAACTTCAGGCAGCTGGCGCGAGCAAACAATTTGTGAACTTTGGGTTCTGGAGTGTAGAGGCAACCCTAGGAGAATCCTGATTTTCCTAGGTTTGCCCCTTTGGTCCGTTCGATGAGCAAGAACCAGAGAGGTTTTGGCAAGTGTGCATGAATTTTTGCCTGTTTGAGCCTCACTTTGATGTGAGTCATGTACGTCAAGGAGAACTGGCTCAAAGCCACATGAATATGCAACAGAACATGACATGTGGCAGAAGCAGAAGCAAGCAGAAGTGTACAGCTTGGTTTGCGAGCTTTGCGCTCGCTTGGCCGTTGTGTGCGTGGCGTACCGCCGCAGGAGCTCGAGAGAGAGTGAGAAAACAGGCTGTGAGTTTTTCGTGCTTGCGTTGCTCGGTGAGGTCCAGGTCACAGGTTTCGGGTTTAGGAAACGCGCATGGTAGCGGAGCCATGGCTACCGAAATGAACGCAGCACAAGCTTCAAGCTCCGAAGGAGCACGCGTGGCAGGTGGCGTAGGTTCGCCGTCAGGGGGAAACACAGGAGCCCAATCACCTTTTATGTCCCCGAATGGTGGACAGAACCCAACCCCAGCAAACTTTCAAGTGCCGACCGCGCAACAGGATGCACAGCCTCAGGCGCACGAGAACGGCAGGCAGGCAAACCAAGGAGTGTATGTGTCGCCAGGACTTGACCCATGGGCCACTTACAAAGGCAGTTGGAACAACAAGCTCAGGAACAGCGCGTGTTGAACATGTTGAGGCAGCAGCAAAGGCATGAAACAGTGTTTGGAGCTCAGATGCCTGGTGTTGTTTCGGCGGATGTTCGGCAGTTGGGTCACGCTGGCGTGTTTGGACATGTACAAGGGCCAGTGCAGTCAAGGGCTGCGGGAATGCCGGGGTCGGTTTTGGACCAGGCATTGCAGAGTTTGGGTCATTTGATGACCCAGATGGGGCCGTTGCAGGCCCAGCAAGTTCAGAATGTCATGACAAGTTTGCAAGGGCTGACGGCAGTGAACTTGGGCCGAGGGCCGGAAGGTTCTGGGTTGCCGAGCCAAGCAGTTTTAACCAATGCTGATCAGCTGGGTGCAGCTGGGAGGTTGCCAATTCCGACAAGACAAGGTGGAAACACGCCAGGAGCAACTGCGTCAGGCGCCGTCGGCTTTGGACAGGACGCAGGTCTTCCGCCGCAGGGACAGGCTGCGAGTTTGCCGCAGCAGCAGGGAGGATTTGGCCCAGCGATGCAGCAGCAGCAGCAGCAGCAGCAGCAGCAGCAAGGTTGGAATGGAAATGAGATGTGGAGCAATGCGGATGTGTTTTTGTGAAGTGACAAGTGGTTGACAGCGCCACCTGTTCCCAAGGTTGAGCAGTGGAAGACTCGGTAACAGGAGGTCTTAGGATTTTCGGAGTATGTTTCTCAGTTTGCCAGGCAATTGAGGCAGCAGTGAGGTGCCCGCACGAGCTCAACTTTGCAGCGATGGATAGCTACCAGCAGGCACGTTCTTCAAGGTTGCTAGCCATTTTGAAGTCTTCATTTTTGCAACATGGAAGAATCAGTTTGATGATTTCGGCTTACTTAGAGAGTGAGAACTACTCCACGGTTGGTATGCCAAATAGGTGCGGATTTGAGTTGCTAAGGCGCTTGGCGTTGGAGTACAGTTTGCGTTCGAGGAGCGAGGCGGTTGCGCTTCGTACGAGCTTGGTCAGCAGAAGCTACCTGGCCACATCAGCGGAGAGCTCGCAGGCAACTCTTGTTGCCGATTCAATCAGAAAGTTGGAGTTGGAGCTTTCGAGGTATAACAGACTTTTGGCTACCTTGCCTTCAGGTTTTTCCGGTGGTCTTGGCGTGAATGAAGGTGACCTTGTGAGCTTACTGTTGAGATCCTTGCCAGATAAGGCGCGAGAGCATGCTTTGCACTTTTCAGGAACCGACACTTATGCCGGCATGCGAGCAGCAAGCCTGAGATGGGAGCAGCAGTATCGCATGGTGAGTGAGCTGAGAGTGTCTGGAGGTTCTGGCATACGGGAGTTGCAGTACTTTGACATGGCTGGGACAGATGAGGATGGGTGCTGGTTGAACTGGGAAGAAGTGAATGCCTTGCAGAGCACGAAGTGCCAAAAGTGTGGAAAGGGGCATGAAACTTCGCAGTGCAGGAGTCGTGTGAGATGCTTTCGCATAAACCCTCCCTCCCCCCTCCCCCCCCTCCCCCCCCTCCCCCCCTCCCCACCTCCCCCCCTCCCCCCCCCCCCTCCCCCCCTCCCCCCCTCCCCCCCCTCCCCCCTCCCCCCTCCCCCCCCTTCCCCCTCCCCCCCTCCCTTCCCCCCTTCCCCCCCCTCCCCCTTCCCCCCCCCCTTTCCTTCCCCCCCTCCCCACCCCTTCCCCCTCCCCCCCTCCCCCCCTCCCTCCCCCCCCCTCCCCCCCCCTCCCCCCCCCCCCTCCCCCCCTCCCCCCCTCCCCCCCTCCCCCCCTCCCCCCCCCTCCCCCCCTCCCCCCCCTCCCCCCCTCCCCCTCCCCCCTCCCCCCTCCCCCCCCCCCCTCCCCCCCTCCCCCATCCCGCCTCCCCCCGTCCCACGCATCATTGTTGATTTTATAGTCTGAAGCCAACTCGAAATGAAGCAGTCGAACCTGTCTTGCATGACGTGCACGAATGTATCAAACCGCCCCTTGGGGTATTGAAGTGTGTGTGTGTGTGTGTGTGTGTGTGTGTGTGTGTGTGTGTGTGTGTGTGTGTGTGTGTGTGTGTGTGTGTGTGTGTGTGTGTGTGTGTGTGTGTGTTAAACCCATTTCTTTCTTTTGTTTGACTCTTCCTAGTGCTACTTATTTGTGAGGATGGGGGGGGGACTTCGATTGAACCCATGCGGAAGGTGAAGAGGCGGAGCGCTTGAAGCTGCCCAGTGCTCTGGTGCGGGTCCCGGAGTGCCAAACAGCGTACTGGAGACTCGGAATGTGAGTCAAACATGGTGGCTCAAAGAGAAGAACCCAGAAAAGCCGCAGATCTGGCTTTTTGAGCGTGTCTACTAAGTGGAGGTTGGGGAGAGAGAATATATTGGCCACCTCCAAGCAATTCAAGGGTACACCAACCAAATGAAACAGAATTGAGCTTTGTGTATGTGAGTACCCCAGATGTGGGCCCAAACTAGTGTGGCTCACAATTACGGATCCAGACAAACAGCGCATGTTGGGGTCGTTTCTCTGAATGCAAAACTGGGGTTCGATCTCATTTGCATCCAAGGGCCCTTCCAAGCTCAGGGTTTTGGATTTGAAAAGCTGTGATCTCTGATAGGAAACCACCACGCAAGGGGTGTTTTTTGTTTTTGTTTTTCTCTCTCCATCTATAATTATAGTCCATCGGGAGCTGCGCAGCTGGCGCTTGAGCGGCAGCACAATCAAACACGCGGATGTGTCATTTCTTGAGGACGCCTTTTTTGGTGGTTCTTTTTGAAAGGAAACCAAAGAAGAAGCGTTGACCTCCAAAAGTCCAAGTACGTACTGCGGATGGACGAAATCCAATTCGCACCAGCTTGTAGGCGGTTTATCCGGGTATTCAGAAGGTTTGGTTTCGTCCATACCAACTGGTGCGAAGTGGATTTTGTCCATCCACAGCATGATGCTTGGCTCATCAAAAGAATCAACAGAAGCAAGATGCGGAATTTGTCGTTTCGGAGTCTCTGTGGCAAATCCGAAAGGTCCACAAACTCTGGGTCATCGGGGCTAACTGACAAGAGTTGACCCTAGAGTCATGGCCAAGTTTGGTTTTAACGTATACCCCACTCTAATACTTTTCTAGGTCGGTGAAGGTAGCAGTCCCCTTGCCCCGAGGCGGGGATATGGGGCGATCAGGAGGCATCAGAAGTTGGGTCAGTTTGGCTCTGAGCCATCGCAGGAAGCTCTTATAGGCTGCATGGGTTTTGTAGCCTGCTTAGGAGGTGGTTGAGGTTGCTTTGCGCTGGTAAAGGATGGGTTTCAGCTGGCTTTTGCGTTGTTAACCTTAAATCCATCCTCAATGAGCCTCCCCAACAACCCAAGACCAGCTGTAGGCAAAATCAAAAGCCAGCCTCAACCACACACGGTCATGGATTTTGATGGGAGCTCAAAAATGGTTGGCGGACATAAATTCCCATGTGAGCGATATCTACCCAACGGGCCCCAATCAGAAAATCATTCTCAAATGCCGCCTCATGAGCACTTTCCCCGAGGCGCAACAAAGAAAACGACCAGGACAGGGCTGGGCGGATGGCCGGTTGAGAAGCTCCAACGGTTGGGTTGCCACGTGAGCATTCAACAGTCGAGATCCTGAAAAAGTCCTTGGCAGTTTCACGAGGTACATGCATCAAGCTGATTTGTTTCAATGCATCACTTTCTTGTATGGGTGAACCGAGTTCAGCTTTGGTGACGCCAGGGTCTTGCGGATGAAGCTTGACCACTCAAGATGTGTGCTCCGAGTTTGTCGTGCATCTCCCAAGACGCTTGACCACTTCTACATTCGCCGAATCACCCGACATGTCACCTTTTCGTGAGGTGAACACTTTCTAGAGCAGTCGCGTCGTGCCGTCGAAGCCCGAATGATTGGCGAGCCAATGTCTCTAGGTCGCTAACTGCGACGGCCGTGTGTTTTTCCACGTGAGAGACCATCCAAGCTCTCAAAAGCAGATGAGGTTTAGATTTCCGTCCTTGGGTCAAACTTGTGCCTTGGATAACCTTTGATTTCTCCCACATGGAGGTTGATCAAAAAGGTCCTTTTCATGGGATGACTATCAGGGAGACCACCAAGGATGATATTTCCCACGTGGGAAAAGTTGGCCCCTGGTCCCACGGGTCATTTGGGGCCAGGAGGGAACCACCGTTTGGAACACCCGGCGCCAGGCCGGCACCTCCGATTCGTCGAGGCGCGGAAGCGGAAGAAGCCTGGAGCGAGGGTGCCATTTCTTGGGAGAAAAAAACAACGGGGGAGGGGGGGGGGAGGTCGGTTTCCGTTGGTTTCCCTTCAAAGCAACTTAAGGTTTGCCTTGGATTGAAAAAAAATGACCAAACCACCAGCTGGAAAACTGTCTATTGATGGACTTGCACCTATGAATCCACCAGGCTCTTTTTTGTGGGACGACCCGTCGACATTTGGAGCTCGACTCATTGGAGCTGCGCCCGCAGGCAGAGGAGGTGAACTTCACGCCATGAGGCGATGAGACAAAAATGAGGCGGCCTCCGCGTCCGCGTCCGGGTGGCGGAGTGGAGGCGGAGTGGAGGCGGAGTGGAGGCGGAGGGTATGATATTTTTGGTATACTAGAAGCTTTGGCCCTTGTTGTGGGGGGGGGGGGGCTTCGAAGCAAATGCTGTCACGAACGAGTTTTGCCAAGGTTTGGCATCGCTCTTGCCATCAGCTTTTTCTGCAGGGAAGGGGGGCCCTGCTGGACGCTTTCTCCGGAAGCTAAGATGGAGCCTGACTGGAGGTTCTGGAAGGCAGGTCCTCTGGGGAGTGACTAGTCGACCTCCCTGGGGCATCAGTCCCGTAGTTGCGTAAGATAGATCTGCAAAAAGGGAGAATGTGCCCTCTGCTTTCAACTGGGGTGCTTGTTTCATAGAGGGGTGCCGGCCTGACCCCCCACTACTCCGGCCTAGTAAGCAGGTGAGCTGGAAGTGAAGTGTGCACTCCTTCTTTGTAGCTTCAAAGCTAAATCAATAGGGTTGCGCTTGACTTGAGTCCAGGGGATAAACTTTCCACATGCACTTGTCCTGATTGTCCCCAGTGGGGGAATATGGGTATGTGTGTGTTGAGGTACGTTCTTCTTGTTTTTGGTGGGTTTAAAGGGAAGCCAAAAGTACAACGCGGGTCGCCCAAACAAAGGTGAATTTGGGGACGCTTCCAACCGCGTGCTCAATTGGCAGCTTCGTTTGCTCGAGTCCGCTTTGTATCCCATTCATTGCCGGCTTTCTTGTGGATTCCTAAAATCGGACACCGCACACCGCCCCTTTGTTGACTCGCCAACACATCTCCCAGGCTTTGCACATCTTCCGACGGGTGCAAATGCTGATTGTCGTCCGCCGGGCGGCAGTGATCGTCCGCGGGCGTGGACTTTTTCCAAGCGCCTCAAGAACCCCACGCTGGGATTGGCGGCGAAGGTGGGACCACATAGCTGGGCCTTCAAGCTCTCAAGAGAAAAAAAAGAGGACGGTTTCCGTGTTTCTCACCGCAAGCAGGTCATTCTTGACCGCAAGAGGCCCACCCCCAAAGCCGCCAATCTGAACGCCAATGGGGTGATGGGTCACAATGTTGTGCACCCGCATGGCATGGCACAACCAGATCCTTCGGTTTGTTTTCATGATGGACCCGCCAGTGCAATGCCTATGGCTCCGTTCCGAGCCGTTTCTTTGCTTCCCCAGTTCCTGGACTTGATAAATTCTCCTTTTTTGGAGGGGAGGACAATTTTGACGGCGAACCAAAGCTCGGACTTAGGTCCAATCCACGGAAGTGAGTTTCTTGGCTATGCCGTGCACTCGCATAGTGAGGTGCCCATTAATGGCAGAGGGTCTCAGCCACCGCGAGAGAGGCGCTGACTTGTACAGAGGCGCGAATTGTACATAGGCGAGTCACGTCGAGCGCGGGACGCGGAGACGTGCTGTTTTGACTTCAAGGGTAGCACTCACCTGGCCATTCAGCTTTTTGAGAATCAAAACGGCCAAGTAAGGGCAGGGTTGCCGCCAAACACAGCTAAACACGGACAAGGGAAAAAGCAACATTAGCGAGCCATGCAGGCTCCGACGGCGTTTGAAACACTGCCAAATTTGACCACACCGGTGAAAGTAGGGCACAATGGTTTGGTCATCCCCTCTCGCCCACACAAGAGGGGACGACCAAACCACGAGTCGTGCAATTTGGTTTCGCCCGACTTTCGGTCATTGAGGGGAGTTCCGCCCATTTCCGCGGCCTACGCTTGAGGAGATAGAGAGAGAGAGAGTTTCTAGATCGGCGGGGTGCTTTCCCTGACTACCGCAGCTCCCGCGGGACATTCAGCGATTGAAGTACTTCGTGTCATGTGAGTCAAAACCCCAGGCTGAGTGAAGGTTGGTTAGGGACAGTCCCAACCAGAATAAGGTGCGGGTATCCACCCTTTTGATTCATTACATAGTTTTGGGGAGTCCAGCTCACTACCAGGTTTTGGTTATGACCCAGGTGAGAATATGCCCATCTCCTCTTGAAAACAAATTTGCTCACATCCCCACCTGATGGCAGGACGAAAACTCTAGGGGCTGTGAAAAGAAAGTCAAGCAATTCAGTGCGAAAACATGGACTTAACAACCAATTCAGAGAGAAGGCTGGCCGCGGGAGGTGCACGGAGCGGGGTTCCAGCAACCAAAAGCAGCCCCAAGCCGAGCCAAGACGCGGCCATTTCTCACGGCGTTTGAAGCAAGTTTTGGGCCGAATCCTTTTGGCCGCCCCAGCGTGGACGAACCCGCGCTGCGCGCGCCCGCCGAGCCCAGAGCCAGAGGCCAGAAAGATATCAAGCTCAAAAGAATTAAGAGCCCGGAAAGTACGACTTCGACTTGCCAGGGGCTTTTCTCTAAATTCCTGAGTTCATTCATATGCAACACATGCCCTCTAGCAGTTTTCAGCTACTCAGGGCTGTTGCAAAGTAATATTCTGTCGTTGAACTGGTGGAGACCCTTGGCATCTTAACAATCACCTTGGCGATTCGATGGCACTGTCTAAGCCCGAGAGCTGCGAGGATTGCCACACACCCCCGACAATGGCCGCTTTTCGGAAGAGTCAGCTACTGGGACTGGTACTTTAGTCAACTATCCAGGACAAAAGGGGCTGACTTTCTTTGAAGATACGTTTTCCGCAAAGATCAACACAAGTTTTTGTTGCACTCCAATTTGGTCCATTTTTTTTTGTGCGGCGGGCGCGCATGCGGAATCGAACTGGTTCCCGAGCCTGGAGTCGCCAGACGCCACTGACTTTCCTACCGGACCCCTGTAAAAACATCTCTATGAAGCACTTCTGGAGTCTCATTCAAATCCAGCGGTTAGTGTGCATTACGTGGCGGGCGTTTGATCTTCCAGGTGTAATTCAGCATGCGCATCCCATCTCGTGGTTCTCGCCCCGCCTTTGCAGGTTTAGACGATTTGGCTCACTGTGTCCAGGGATCAAACATCGAACGGTTTGAGCCCACCTCACGCTGACTTGAGCATTTGGTGAGCCCATCAGGAGAGGTGGCGCTATTGTCCTATATACATACTTTACAGTTCCTCTACCTATTGTTTTCAAAGATGACATTGCCAGTTTAGGGTCAGGGACCATCGACTTTTTCATCCAAATAGAACCTGCAATGAGACGGGGGATTGAGCGAGATGGATTCCGGGGGATTCCGGGAATGGTGGAGATGCAGAGATGCGGACATGCGGAAGGACGTGGCTTCAATCTGTCGATACTAATTCGGGGCACCCTAACACGGGTTCTAGCACACGGGTTCTAGGATGCTACACACACATGATTTTCCTTGGGTGCACGCTGGAAACAGTTTCTTGGAATCCGTTCAGGTTTTCAAAGTAATGAAAGCGAGATGAACCAAATTCGGGTGTGTTTGGATTCTAGAGGGCATGCGGATTGAATAGGGCGTCCCGGGGAGGAGAGACCACTCTTTCGGGGCACCACATTCCCTCCGGCCCCATTCATCCGAGTATGAGGGGCTCAGGCAGCAGAGGGAACCTGTATGGCTTCAAGGAGAACACCCCTGAAGTGGTTCCGCGTTTGGCGATGCTCGCTGCACGAACTTGAAGGTCAACCGTAGCTGGCTGCATCCTCAACTGGCTGCATCCTCAACTGGCCGGAATTAAGAAAGGAAAGCTTCAAACCTGGGAAACTGAGGTGAAGCCTAGCTCGCAACGAGGTCTGTTTTACTTTGTGCCAGCCTATGGACAGCCAGGAATCACTATTGCTGGTGACATGGTTAGATCCTTTGATGATTTTCGCTCCTCCTGGAGAGTGGAACCAGCCAAATCTTTGCTGCCAACTAGTGGCACAGACGACTTCGCTGTTTCATCTTTTGGGCCTGATGCTTTAAGGGGGGCATATCGGAAATCCACCGGAATGGCAGAGCTGCTGTTTTTTCCAGATACCCTAGAAACCCTCCGAGTCGCTGGGACAGAAACGCAGCAAGTTGCTAAAGGGGACATGGCTGCAGACTGAGACATGAAGCATCTCTCGTCTCCACCCGACCCTCGCCGCGCCCTCGCGTGGCAGCAGACCTTTCAGGGCGCTCGGCCCACTTTAGGCCCCAAGTCCTCGGCAGAAGGACCTGTGATACAATTTGAGCATGGAGCAATAGATAGCCAAATGACGGACAATACGTACACGTAGAAATACATGTATACACATATATATATATATATATATGTATACACATATATATATATATATGTATGTTTGTTTTGTTTGTCGTATTTCGAGATGCAGGTGGAGTTCAATCTGCTCTTTGGTTGCTTCTTGCGACACCGTGCCGTGCAGAAGCACGAACATCGTTGGGCTTGTGGTGGCCACAATCCCGCCTCAAGGGCAAGGGACTGTCGATGCCCAAAGGTAGCAAGGTGGACACTGCCAAGTGCCAAACCCCCTCTGCCCCCATCCGCATCCGTGGCTTTGCAGTGTTTTCTTGTTTCGTGGGTTTCCCTTGTAGATCTCAACCAAAGCCGCCGAGTTTTTGGCGGGTTTCCAATTGAAGGTCGGTTTTTGGCTTTCCTTTTTTTCAGTTCCAACTAAAGTGGGCGGCCTGTTTCGGGCTCTGAGTGCCCTCCCAGTACTGGAAGTTCCTTGCTTGAAATATTCAGTGCTTTTCCATTTTTGGACCTCCAAACGTTGCAGTTCTGTTGGAAGCCAGCTGCCAAAGGCAACTTTTGAGCGGGGAAATCCAGCGATTCCTGTCAACCGCCTCTCCGGATTCGGCGCGGTGCCGCCTCGCCGGTATTTGGCCGCTCTTGAAGGGCCTTCGAAATCATTCGACCACAGGGGTATCACACCTCCGGCTTGCATTCCGACTTGGGCATCGGCAGTAACAGCAGGTCCGCCAGAGGCTCTAAAAGGTGGCCTCTGGTTGACTTGGGTCGGAATGGCGGAGGTCGGAAGGGCTTTGTTTCATGGCCCTCGGAGGCGAGCGAGCCGGGATCGCGCCCGCGGCGATCGAAATAGCATTCGCGCCAGGCAAGCGGACACTCCTGAGATCCCTTCCAATTTGATTTCGGCGGATGCTGTTGGATATTTGAGGTGAGAACAAAGAAGGTGGTTGTCAAACTGTTTGTAACAGCACAGCATCTCACCATGTCCCAAACGGGCTCCTGTTTTTGACCCAGACACACTGCATTCCAAGACCTGTTGAAGCCTTCGGGGTCCAGCCAGAAAAGAAACAGCTTGGGATGTCGTGTGAACCTACGCCCAGGGTTGCTTCTTTGGCCCCAAGATGACTAAACCTCAAGTAGATTGATCAAAGGTTTCCTTTAGGTTCCCGGCCAAATTTCTGCCTTGCTGGCACTCAGGACTCAAGACACACCTTGAATTGCTGACAGGGACAAACAGCAAGCAAGCGAGCACGGAGGTTCGAGGCATATGCCAAAAAGTTGCTTCTTGCTTCCATGCAGAGAGTGGCACAAATCTAGATGACTGTGTCCATCACCATGTTGGTTGCAGAAGCCTCGAGATTCATGAGTAGTGCCGGATGCTCACGAGGCCTTATGTAAGGGGGCGTACCGGGCAACTGATTGCAGCATTGTGAGCCATTTTGAAAGTTTGCTGGAATGTTTGTTGGAGCGTCTTCAACACATAGAATTGTCTATAGATGTTGTTTGCTCAAAATGTTAGCTGCGAGAGATGCCTGCCGGGGGGGGGGGATGGGCTGAAGACGACGACTGATTCTGGGCTTGTAGCGACCTCAGGTATGTTTGTAACCTCAACCAGGATGCTTGCTTGGGGTCTGTGTTTTTCTATGTTGATGAATCATCGCTCACCCGGATTGCAAGGGGCAGTACCAACTCAGGATCGAGGATCGCACAATGTGGAGGTGAGAGATAGGCACCCGGGGTTTTGCAAGCGCTGAGGCTATATTTTGCGGAAATGCAAGCTGTTTGCTTTTCTAGCCA